CGTCAGAGCGAACGACGTGCGCCGCAATATTAAAATTCAAAGATTTTACGATCCATTATTAAGCGTCATTACACGTATACTGACAGTTTGAATAAATAAAAGTACAAAAGACGGATGTAACAATATTCGCTCGAACGTCGTCGAATGGTTTTATCGCGACGCGACGCGGGAGCGGAAAACGAGCTTTCCCAAGATGCACGAATGTGCGATTACGCGCGTCGCCGAATCGCTCGTTGTCGGACACTGACAAATTCCAGAGCGTGGCCATTATTTGGATCGTTACATGCTTACAACCGCGTGATATCCAACGTTAAAAGCATTAAGGGATGAAACCGACACGACGTAGCGAACGACCGGGGGTTTGAGAAGGACGAGACCGCGCGAATGGACACGGAGGTGCGTTACTGGAACTTCGCTTTCTGGCTCTACGAAGCGGCGCGTCCACCAGATGGTTCATCAGATCGTACTCTGCGGCGAGTGTGGACTCCACTGACGTTCTCTTCGTCCCTTCATTTTCCCACTCTCTCCTGCCTTTTGGGCGAAAGAGAAGGAGGAGAAAAGGACCATCGGCGTTCCCAGGTCGGTGCCGCAAAAGCTGGCTACCGACCCGCGACAAGGTCGACCTTTACCAGTTTGACCAGAGAGCGGGCCAGATCCGCTTACGCCGGTACGAATTTGAGATTCCGTAAATCCACCAAAACTTCGACCTACGTCCTGCTTTCCACTTATCTGCCGGCACGGAGAAAGAGGAAAGGAAAAGAGAAAACACGAGAGAGAGAGAGAGAGAGAGAGAGAGAGAGCAAGATAAAGGAGAGAAAGGGTCTGTGGGATTCGCGGGATGAAGCTCCGGCCAGACTATACCGTTTCCGGTACGATGAGCAGAAATGCCGGGCGTAATGCGAAAGGGAATCCGTGTAGATGCCACTTGCCACGGTACGGGCACATAGAGAGACGCATACACAAGTAAACACACACACACACACACACGCATAGAGACACGGAAGCAGCATCCGCGTCTGTGACGAAATGTTTGAGAGATATCAAAACCGCACGCCCGTGAAGGCAAGCTCGGCCCTGAACCGGCAACCCAGATATGACGGTTGCATGGCACTTCTATAATTAATTGCCGCGCTCGGTGCTCCGCGACTGATTTATGCGAGAGCGATCTTTATCTCTCCCCCTTTACTGACCAGATACAATCTGCGGAAAAAAAAATCGCGTCGTTACCAGGCAAAAATGTCTGGGTCGATTCGCGGGCAGAAGTGAGGAATTTCGAAATCATCTGTCTTTTGGCGAAGAAAACCGGCGACAGCCGCGATATATCGTCCGCGCCACGTTAGACGTCCGAAAATAATATCGTGTAAATACACGCCCTCGGCGCCGTTATTTATTTCCAGAAGCTCCGTATTGAAAATGAGCCGCAACGCGAAATAATTTTCAGATAATTATCGTTTCCGCGGCGGGGGCCGCTATTGCGCGATAAATCTCGATTTATCGACCGCGAAACTATCTTGACCAGATGAAATAACTCCACACAAATATCATACCCGAAAAATATTAGTCATTAAGATAAAATCTGCCAACAAGCGGAACATCATTTTTGTCGATTCCGTGCTATGTAAGCCGGAGCTAATCGAAGTGCGAAATCGAGTCCAGATGTGTTATCTAAAATTATACCTCTTTCATATCCCGCGCAATTATACTCTAGGGAATTATTACTGAAATATGTATAATAGGGATATATATAATTTCTCTCTACGAGATTTTGGAATATCTCTTCATGAAATTCTTATCGTGACGCGGCGCTCACTTTCGGCTTCCGTTCCGACGTACGTAATTAATGACATCCCGGTGATATTCACTCTGTATGTCAGAAGCGAGACGGATTCTCGACCTGACGAGAGAGAGTTAAATAAAGATGCAGTTGATACGTCAATCTCGGCGATAACGTCGGTTTTAAAATACTTTCTCTCCCCCTTCTCTCCCTTTCCGCGGAAAAGAAGGTAGTAAAGAGAGAGAGAGAGAGAGACTGACAAGTCGGACGAGTTCCATCGGCGATCTAATTGCCGACGAAAATGATGGAGCTGGAAAACGGGGAGCGGGAGGTGAAGGAGACAGGCGGGAAGAAGGAAGAGAGATGATGGTGGTGAATATGAAGGGTAAGAGAGACTGCGGACTATCTCATTCTCCTCGCCTTTGCGAGCGAGCGAGACTCCCGTGTACACTTGATTCAACAAAGCAAATCAGACTTCGACACGCGAAGTCGGTATGAGGCATCACGCGAGGTCGCTTTTGCACCCTTCCCGCCGTGAACCACCCCCCCCGTTAGCCAATCTTTTCTGGCTGGCTTCTTAGCCTTGCCCATGCCCCCCCGTGGAATTAGTGTCAAGCTAATTTCGTGGCTGAATTTAGAAGTTTCCTTTGATCGTGTGTCTCGTTTGACTACTAACCATTCCTTCAACTCCCCTATACTCTTCAACCTTTTCCCTTCGAAATCGACTTACCTTGTTCCGTCTCGGTTTGGTCAGCGGCGCGCCGCGCCCCCGACTTCCATGAAAAAGCAATTGCTCCGTATTACATGGTACATTACTAAAGTTACCGCTGAGCAATTTTTTTCGCGTGTTTCTCTTCGTTTCGTTATTGCGCGGGGGAAACATGCGATCGTCATCGAGCGCGTTATATACACACATGCACAGAGCGCTCCGTGTACCAATTTAGTCGGGAACCGATTGTAACGAACGGGAGATCACGAATGCGGATTTGCGACCATTAAACCAGGTGAGTACGACAAAGTATATGTTATTTGTTTGTTGTTGCTATTATGCGTATACGCGCGCGCTTTCTGTCATCTGTCGCGAATAATTGGCGAGAATACACTCGCACGCATCTCTCGCACAAAATCCGTCACATTGTGGGAACACATCGCAAGCGTATTCATTCACGGCGCAACAAAATAAACTTCTATTTTGATAAAAAAAAAAAAAAAAAAAAATATGTATTAACTATTTGTTTTTTCGTCTTTTGAATTTATTCGTTCAGAAATGTAATTTATACGTTAATTTTAATTTGTGTAATGTAGCAATTAATACAAACTGCTGAATAGAAAGTGATTATTACAAAAGTGAGATTCTCTCGATTAAAAACAAAAAAATATTAACTTTATATATTCAACATATTATTACACTAACATTGAAGCATTGAATAAATTTTCATTGATTTAATTTTACTGATAATATAGTAATCGTTCAAGCAGATATTTTTGCGCGGTATTAACAATTATGCATAAACGTTTGATTGGTTTAATATTTTATCGAATGTTCTTTGTTTTTCGAATATTTTTTCGCTTTATTAATATTTTTTCGAATTTGATGTTCGTTTGTTAAAATTGTGCGGAAATGAAATTATAAACTCGCTCGTGACGTTATATCGCTGCAATTTGAGCATTCGTAACTTTTGTTACGAATCCGAATTTTGTTTCCAATACCGCGATCATTGGAATAATAAGACAATCGGTGAAAAATTTGCGTGGAATTAATAAGAATCTAAGATTCAAACGCGCGGTCTGAACATGACTACCGAAGAACTGGCACTCCGCGGCAACACCGGGGGTGAACTAACGTAACTTTTATACGCTGCTGGGCATGTGTTAAACTAGATTTCCCATAACGGTTAGAATTAGCATTTTGACGACCTTTTTAAGAGTCTGAAAAACGTGATCGAACTGGAACCTATGAGCTTTGAGAAACGAAAAAATAACTCTATTGTGTGTTGAACGTGTCTCTCTTTTTTAACGCGCGCGAGAGAAGGGGAGTAGAAACAAATATACGTAAGAAAAATACACATTGTATATTGTTGATATAATTTGTACACGTTGAAAATGCACATGTGACAAAAACTTGTACGTCACCAAACGAAATGTAAACAAAAGAAATCGCAGAACGTACCTCGGGAAGTTTCGCAAACTTGTAGTTTAAGCGCGCGGCGCGAAGTTGCAGAGATAACAAAATTGGCAAGATGAAACGTTCGTTTTTTTCCACACTTGTTTTTCTACTTGCGATAATTTCTCGAGTTGCATACATATACAATATTCGATCGCTTGTGCCATTTGTGAAAATTGTTGCCGAAACTTATATATATATTAACCTTTTCGCTCCGGGGATTTTTCCTTTAAAATTGACCTCGCATTTTAGCTGAAAAAGTTAATAATAACCTGCTACCCCCCCCCTTCAAAGTTAATTTTGAAGGTCAAAGAAGTAACCAGGATTTTTTTCAATTTTTTTCCTAAATTTAGTGCATTAAATTGACCTTATAAACATCTATTACGTTCGCTTTTCTTGCTGGTCCATATATGGACCAGTCCCGGAGCGAAAAGGTTAATATGTATCATATATCACAAACAAGTATGTTAAAATGTTATCGCTGGAAATTGAGCAAATATACTAACTACATAATGAAAACTTACTGCTCACTCAATTTGCAATATATTCAGCAAGCTTATTTACAAACAAAACGTGTGCGCTTTGATCACCTGTATATAAATTCAGTGACATTTCATTATTGCGGGCACTTTGTTCCTTGCTCCGTTTCAAACTGCGATTAACGCAGCACTCGCCATCTAGAGATACAGTATGAACGAAATAACGAAGTTGCTTAAAACTATCTAGCTACTGACATCTAGCGGCGGTGAAAGCAACTTACAAGGTGGACTTACCGACAATGTTACGCGTTACATCGTTAGATGGCATTTGCTGTTCGCCGACAGTGAAGAGGATCTTTGCAAGCGTATCAATAATTATACGTATTCTTTTCGACTTTCGATTTTTTTGCGGCATCTCCGAGAATAGTTTCCACTAAAAAAAATAATCTGTGAAAAAGTTCATCTTGATCGGAGAAAAGAAAAATTATTACATGTGTGTATGTGTGTTGCGGACATAGCACGGAATAGAATCTTAGGTTTGAGTGCAAATCGCATGCGCACCGACAAACCGCTCGTGACGTGACTACGTAGTTGCCAGTGTGCATCACCGTGGACGTAGCGCTATCGAACACAAGTAGAAAAGCCGCAACAAAATGCGGCCGTGAGTGCTCTTCACTTTGCTCTGATCTCCGTCTATATCAGCGCCTCCTGGTGATTGTAGTGTTCGTAGAGAAGATCTGGAAGTCGACATTTACATATGTCAGTCCCTAAAATCATGTAAATTTAACGAATAAAACATATATCGTGTTTGTTTCTCTCCGCAGAAACCTGTTCATTATTTACAAAGGTAAATAGTCTATTTCTCTCGAGTTCAAATTTGCGCTCGATACTGTTTGAAAAAGTGATTCAAAAGCGTCATTTATATATGTCGGCATCGCCCATTTCGGAACAAGTGCGATGTGTTCATTCATTGTTAATCTTGTTGCATTCGTTATGAATAATGATTTCGCTTGCAAGTACTTTGTATGTTCTTGCAAACAGTTCGGGTAGTTACGATCAATCCCTAAGACAATTCGTTACTTTTTTGGTAAATTAATATATCGCTAAGCTGATCGAAGTTGACGTCATCATTGCCAAAAAAATCAATAGGTTTGTTTTCCTCTTGCTGCAGTGGAACTGCATCCGAAATAATATCCGAACAAGCAAGAGTGAGCATTAGAATGAAAATACAGAAAAAATAGTAACGAAATGCTATAATAATCAACATGACACTGTCTCTTTCTGTTATGAAATAAAGTCCTTTTTGTTGAAGTTGGAAGAGTCGTACTTTTTGCATTTAAAAATTAAATCGTATATCTAAGTATATATTAACAGAAAACTTTAAAATGTGCTTTGAGATAAAAAAAAAACGATATTTAGACGCGATATTCAAAGTTCTGGATCTTGCATTTAAGATCGTCTTAAGACAATCTCTAAGTTCTAAGATGCTGTACGACCTGATAACGTCCGATCTGTAGCCGACAAAACTGCTACAGATTATCTGAAGATGAATTTGAGACGATCTTAAGTACAAGATCGGATCATGGACCGGCTTTATCATCTCTGATTAATTAGTCGGTTATTCTATTGAAACGGGCCAATCGCTTTGTTTAGCAGAAATAACTAAGATACATCAATTACTCAATTAGAAAATTTCGAGACAAGAAAAACCTGCTAATTTCACTAAATCAATTTGAGTGACAAAGTTTTCTCGGCAATTATATACTGCAGATATATGAATATTCTTTTGAAACGTATATTTTATCATATCAGTAATTTTTATTTTTATATAACTTTTATATGTACTAAACAACTTATGTATAATTTTTGAGGTCTTACTTGGTATTTCTATAAACCCACAACGTAACAAGATGATGTCCGATCGGAAAGCTGAGTTAGAGAGAAAGAAGGCTAAGTTGCAAGCAATTAGAGAAGAAAAAGAGAGGCGCAGGAGAGAAAAAGAACAGAAAGATGTAAGGAATAATAGAAGGCTTTAGTTCTTGTATAAATATACTGTGTGTCTATAATAGTAATTGTAAATTTGTCATTTTGGATTATAGGTAGAAGAAGCGACTGTTCGTGCTGCTGGCACAGACAAGGATCAGCGCAAGGAGATAGATGCAATGCTGTCTTCCTTAGGTGTAGCACCAGTATCAGGTATATTCATATATATTTTGTTACAAATCATGATTTTTATACATGCTTTAACTATCTTTATTTGCTTCCAGATGTACTGTCTAGTTTGTCTAGTATGAGCTCACTAACACCTGAGCAAAGCACCAATGCTACACCAGATGCCAGCTTACAACCATCTAGTATGAATTCTGCTCAAAGGTATTTATATTAGTATTGCGTATTTCTTGTATATTTTTCTAGATTGATTTACATTTTTATGTTGTCGGAAGTAGCGGAGGACGAAGGAAACCTCGGGAGCTTACAATCGTTTCTGTGGCGCATACCAATATTCCTCCGAAAGAACCGGTTGTCTACAGCAAGCAAACGCAGACCATTCAGACAACGCATACATCTCACGACGGTGAGTCAATATATTTCTCTTACATTATTTTTTTATTGATTTGCACATATGTGTTACATCTCAGTATCTCACTCGTGATTTTGTTGAAAAATATTTAGATATTAGAAAACACGTGTTTACTTTTGATATTTAATTCACCATGTTGAAAGACATAAACATTAATGGAATTGAGATGCGATTTGCTTTTGCTAAAGACTAAAGATCTCTACTTGTTTATTTATATTGAGTACTACTATATTTTATATAAATATCTTATACAAATTTTTTTTAACAATCTTTTTTATTTTGCGATAGAAAAAAAATTCCATTGATTATCAACATTCACTTTAATATAATTCACATGTCTATAGTACAGTCACAAAATGCGTGTTTTAAAATCACTGAAATATCATCAATCTCTCCACACGTATATTCCATAGTCACGTTAATAAATACTTTTATGATTGACTATGGTAAAGTGGGTGGTGTATAAAAGAGAAAATATATCATTATGTATTATTTTTTACTGCAAAATACTGTTTGTGTTTACACGCAAGTTGTAACCACTGTATTAAAGTGATTTAACAATATTTTTTTGTATATTAACTATAAATAAAGCAAGTTTTAATAATATTAATCACATGTGCGCAAGTTTAATTTTTAATTCTTTTTGCGTGATGTTATAACATTTAAGTTAACCTTTTATACATTTTTGTTATGATTAATTTTGAAGTGGCGAGGAAACTTACATATTCTCAAAAAAGAACACAATAACACTATTATTATTATTATATACTTTAATCATTTTATTTCTTTTTGTTGCGTTTATGGGGAATTAATATTTTTCAACACTTTTTTACTCTTTTTTTTTATATTTTGTTATTTAAACTATTATTAAATATTACTACTTATTATTTATAACTTATTTACACAAATATTAATGTTCAATTCTGTAAGTAGGATGTATGTGTACGTATATGTTGATAATATTTAAGCAATTTAAAACAGCAAGAGAAATATAAAATATTATATATTGTTGATTATAAAAAAAACGATTATTATTGACTGAGAAGTAGAAAATAGCATTTCTTTTTATTGTGAGTCTTAGATCGTACGTATTAGAATTGTATTTGTTGACATATAACAGGTAGTATGCCTCTAACAGTGAGTCTGGGTTTGGTTCAAATTACGTTTCTTTGGTGATGGCAATTGTTCGTTCACAGACGTTTTCATTTCCACGATACACACCCGCAAATTCAGTTAGTTTTCAAATGCTTGGTTTTTATATGTTTTCCTAATACTATTAATTTCAATCTTACAATCTGCTAATAATACAAAAAATTATCATAAACGATTTACATATATAATTAACATTTATGTGTTCACGTATTTCACTTATACCACCTACTTTACTGCGACAAAAAAAAAACAGAATGCGATATTTCTTCAGATAAAAACGGAACTTCTGGTGGAAAAATGTTCTTTTCAAAATTACGCGATTACCCAATTTATAGTTTTCTTGAAGAGTTTGGACAGTACTACCACGCTGAATATGTATTTACGCATATACAAAAAAAAAGATGAATCTTTTATATATGTAATTGTTGCCTAACTGATCTTGCGGTGTTAATTAAACATACGCGTGTTCCCTTGTCTTGCGATACAATCTGATCGATTCATCCGCGGTGTTGGACACAAGGACTGTCCACATCGTCCTCTGCATACACCATCTACTCCTCCTGTTCAACAACAACACCAACTCACTCTTGCTCCGCAGGCTACTTTGAGACTGACTGGTGGCGCCCCAGGAAAGGTGGGTCTGCACCAAACTACCTATGTATGTTCTGTCTACTTTTTTATTACCCTTCCAAAATAATTGTTGTTGTACAACAGTATAGAGGTAGAGATACGTTGGAGTTTCGCGTACATATCAAGTGAAGAAAACGTAGAGTCTAGTTTTTTTGGGGTGCTTTGCGCTTTTTAAACATTGCTCTCGCAGATTTTTATGCTGTGATTTTTCGTTTTTCTTCTCAAATTTGAAGGCAACGAGGAGTCATGAAAATTTATCCTACTAAGTGGACAAGCTATCTTATGTTCTTAACTATGCAAATTTTGTATGTGGAAATTTAAATTTACTTGTATATATTGTATATACAGAGATATATTTTACTGAAGAAAAATGAAGCAAGAATATCTTGGTTTATTTAATTCACGACAATCTCGTAATTTTATTTCCGCATACAGTTGCTTGCTTATGAAGGAGGCTTACTCACGCTTTACAATATGAAGTTTGAAAGGAAATAATTAACTTTTACAAAAAAGTTAAGATTACACAGCACATTAACTCTAGGCGTCCTGTTTGTTGGGAAAAAACGTGTTACAAAATTCTTACAAAATCACTAAGTACCATGACTCATGCGTGCCGGTAGAAAATTGATATTTGTGCTCAAAATGAGATTCACGGTTATCAATATTTTTCCAGCACAAATATGAAAAAAATACAAATCTAATAATCTAATGATAAATGTGTAAAAAGATAGCTCTGGATAGTTTTCTGATATATATCAATATATATTTTTTTTAAATATATGTGCTTCATCAAATAGCAAAGTTTGCTAAACTGAATGTATAACATTAACAGAAATGCTCACACGTCGCTTTTAAAATCATCATCTGCTTTTCTGATCGTTTACATTAACAAATACAAATAACGAAATTTAATTTATAAATAAAAAGAGATACTTAGAGGGTGGGGATAAGTGTGACAAGGGATGTAAGTGAGATATTGCAACTCACATTTATTCGAGAACTTATCAAATTTAATCAAACTTTAAAGGTTTTTATCACAAGAAATGTATAAAAACTGAATGAAAAACTAATTGTAAGGTCGATAAAAAAAAAAAAAAACGAAAGTGTTGAAGATAGAAGAGAATGAACATTAATTGCCCTAAAAATGATAAACACTTTGAATATGTATGTTTCCTCTTATACGTAGGAATCGAAGCACCACACACTATAAGAACGTACAAAATTATATCCACCTAACTACATTCAGCACAAACTCTGTAATTTTTGTCGAAAGATGTGTAAGATATTTTTACATGCTGTTTACAAATCGTCACGATGTTTATTTATTTGAGCTAATAAATTACACTGACGATTAAAGAGGTAGGATTACATTTGGCATTGATGATAATCGATTGTTTTTCAAAAAACTGCCACAAAAACTATTCACAATTACGAGATTCTTTTTGTTACATGCGTTTTTGTATACATTTTACCGTTGATTTTTCTTTTTTGAAATCAATGGTCTGAGTGTAGAGAGGTGTTAATTAGCGTAGCGCATTCTTATGATATCGTTAACTAAGTACAATTTTTTTTCCCTCCCCTTCTCAGCTCATGCATTCGACTATTACGGTAAGTTATGATTTCTCTTGGTTCTGAAAGCGAAAGTTCTTAGGTTCAGAGTTAGGTATTAGCTTGATATCAGTTTTATTGCTTGAGGCAATGATTGCACTAAAAAGAAAAGGTACTATGCGAATGAGAGAATTTTAACTTTTAATGTGATAAAGATAGTAACGCGTATATATTATTTACGATTATATAGTATAAACTTCACATGCTATTTAAAATTTATTATCGCATCAAAACAACCGTGTGTCAAGGTAAGACGGAATTTTTCTCGGATTTTTCAAATTTGTTTGCCAAACAAATTAGCGAAACTAAATAGCGTATATCATGTATAGTTTACTACAGACATACTAGATAGTGCGTCTTCTGCCTCTTTTACATTCAGAGTAGATAAAGTTTAGAAAAAAAAAAAAAAAAAAATGGACGAATAATGACATATCATCTCTCAAATGAATTTTCCATACGCAGTATGAAACAATTAAAGGAATGCAACAAAAAGAAAACAACTCTCCACCCAGAACCTGATCGGTCTTTGCTAACTTGTGAATTGCTTTTATATCTCTTCTGACTCTTTCTCTTCTCGTTATGTTTATCTATTTTTGGGTGCATTTGTTTCTCTTATTATATCTTTATTTTTCTCCAAGTATTTCTCTGACATCTCGACTTTTATAAAAAAAAAAAAAAAAAACAAAAAGGATCTGCTATCAGATAAACAACACAAATCTCTGTTCTGACTGTCGAAAGAGCATGTACATACAAATTTCGAGAATCATTACTTCGGTATATTGGATCTTTTGACATGATATTTTCAGACTATTTTCAGACTGTTTTCTTACAGAGGAGATTATCACACTCTTATACACACACAGTATGTCATCAAAAAACTATTCTTGACTTTTTTGTGTATCAGTATTATCAAAGAAATAGGATATTAAAAAGAACGAAAAGAACATTAAATAGTGTTTAAAAAAAAGAATTTATAATGACTGTCACTGTGACAATGATATTCTTGATGACATCTCGGATGGGATCAAGAGTGTCAGATGTGTCTTTTGAGAAAAGAAGAAATATCCATGGCAAATCTTGTCACAACTTAACGCACCTTCCAGAGTTCTCGGCGCGATGTTACTTATGGGACCTTTGGAAATGTTATTATATTACGTACTAACAAGGAAGCAATTGTTTATAGAGCTAAGGTGTTGTGAGATATTAACTCAAATCGATACTAACATTATACAGAAACTAACAGATTACACAGATTACTCTCTTTTGTATTGTACATATAGCTGTAGTTTGGTTCTTTTTTTTTTTTAATTAGGAATCTTATTATCTTACTATTATCGCGGGAAAAATTGAGATTTTTTACGAATGCTTGAGCTTTTTTTAGTGGCGCAGGAAATTTTCTCGAATGTTTCTCGAACGCAGAATATTGCTTCTTAACAGCACGAGGGTAGAAACAAAATTTATAGATTAACAATAATTTAAAAGAGCAAATATACAGGCTAATGAATACGTCTCTTAGTCTTGTAGCACACATTCTCAAAATAATATAAATACATCGCGTACTTCACGTTTTGTCAATGACGTTGACAGTCTTTATCTCTGCTACTGTCAGTCAACATATTTAGAAAATAATAATCTTATTTAGAAAATAATATTTAAAAACTTATTTTTCGTGTCGTTTGTGAAACACTGAAAAAGTTTAATATAATATAATTTTTCAGTAGTCGGAGATGTCAGTATATATTGTAGTAGATATAGTTTTTCAATTTTTCATGATCCCTTACTTGTCTTCATTTTTTTTTTGTTGCTGTAGAGGCTTTTTTCTCAGATTTTAGTAACTCTGAGTTTTTGCGCCAGATTTATTTTTAAAGATAATTTTATCTCGTTTTGTTTTCCGTATCGATTAAAACTAATATGCGCGAGAGGGTATTTTGAAATTTACATGTGATGAAATTTTTTATCTAGAGGGATCAAAGAGCAATAATGGTAATGATATTTTTTTTATATGTCTTTCTCTCTGAGTATTTCAACAATTTATGAATCTTATACATAGTGAGAAGTACAAACTTGTAAATTGATCCCTTTAGAGTGTGCAATGTTTTATAAAATATACTAAAAAAAAAATATTTAGAGTTGCTGATAGCGATATTATACGCATGTAAATAGTATATCGACTATGATTTGTTCAATTTCAATCGCTACACTTTCAAGTTTCTTGAACGTTGATTGTTGATGTATTTTGCATGGCAAAACAAAAAAAAAAGAAAAGTTGGTTGAATCTTTTAGTAAGATGCTATCGCAAGTAATCTAATGTGACAATGAAAATCTGGACAACAGTTCACGTTTAAATGCAACGTGTGAAAAGAAAGACTCAAATAACTTTTAAGTTTTTTTGTACATGTACATTATGCATCAATAATACAATCGATTAGAAAAATATTTTTTTTTGTAAAACCTATAAAAATGATTTCGGCAAATAGAATATAAAATTGATTGACATTTTTTTTTCCCTCCTTCAAGACGAGTACAATCTAAATCCTGGTTTAGAATGGGAGGACGAATTTACAGGTAGGTAATCCTCTCTAAAGACGATTCACATTCTAATTATTTCACTGACATGTCGATAATTCTACCTCACACTCACGAAATTGCGTCTAAAAAGCAATTCTCACGTAACTCTTATTGTAATATTTATCGTCTCTGCATCTCACGTGCACTGAAAGGAGGGAATTGCCGCTGGCATTTACAAATTGCTTGATACAAATCGCTTTTTTTTTTTTTTTATTTTCATATGTATATTATATCATATATGAGTAAAAAAATTATTAATTGCTTTAACGTATCGCGCATGCAGAAGTCAAAAGCCGTTTCGTCGTTTATTTTCTAATTAACGCAAATAATTATCGTTATGTTACTTTTAAAATTTGGCACGTCAATCAAGATGTCTTGCAGATCTATTAATTACTTATTACATTGAGGATATTTGTTGATTTTTTATTATTTTGAGAATTCACAAGCGATTTAGAACAGTAGATTTTGTTTTGTTTATTCCAACACACTGTCGTAGATGTAAATTTAATTAGTGCTGCATGAGACTTGGGAAGTTGCGTTAAAGATCGTCTCCACTCTGTGTTTATCCGCGTTTGTTATTTTATATTTATTGTTACAAAAGAGAATTTATAGAGTCGCGACTTTGCACATAATAATAATTTTATTGTTCATTTTATTGTCAACCAAATCCTATTTGTTTATTGTTAATTGTTTTGTACAGTTTACACAATGTGTTCTTATTATAATAGTATATAAAAAAAATAGTACATATATAAAAAGAAATGATGAAATTTAATTTCATAATTCTCACACTCTATACATAATCTCTGTGATTGATAACTATATATAGTAAGTAGTGATAAAAAAAAAGGGGAAAAATTAATAACCTTTTCTCATTTACAACATTCATGTTCTTTCCACTTCTTACACGTCGTTGCCACTTCATCGATATTGCATGTCAATAAGAAAAAGGGTGGAGAGACACTTGAAAAAGAAATACGTAAATAAAGTCAATGAGATCTAGGTTCAATCTTTATTTACAATATATAATCCACCAACAAGCAGTCCACCTTTCATGTATGTATCTAATGCTGCATGTCATCTAGGCTCATTCTTATAATTTTCGTTTTCGTACATATTCTTATTTTTTTCTTTGAAAGCATGAAATTCAGTATTTATTAAAGCTTTACGTGTTCTCCCTCTTGTAAAATTATTATTATTTTTTTTTTATTGAAACATTTGCAATTTAACTAGAAAAAAATTTCTTATTCTGTTATAAAATAATCAGTTTTGAGTTTATTATTTTTCGCTGTACACCGGCATGTGTGTAAGTTTTGGCATCTGAAATGTAAAAAACCGATGTAATACGAAATATTATATTGCAGAAATGAATGTCAGGAATGTTCAACAGAATTGTTTTTTTTTCTTTTACGAGTGTGTGTCTAGAAAGTGATAGATTATTTCTGCGCTATAGATGTTTTTTAAAATTTCAATATTTCTTGTTGCAAAATATTTAGTTCTTTTCTTTTGTGTTTTCTTTAATAAAATCATAGTATCTAGAAAGAGCGTTAAAAAAAAAAAAAGTTTCCTGGAATGTTAGTTAAAATCAAATAGATAGATAGATAGATGGATAGGTAGTTACATCCAAGTTAGGGTAGTTGTGGCGGAACCAGCTTATTCACCACAGTTTTGACATTTGATGATGGCCAAGCCGAAGACGAAGAAAATAGCTTGCCGCACATGGACGGTTTCCAAAGCAAGCTACCGCCGGGAATTCTTCCTCATGGATTACCGCAGGTTAAAGAAGTCCAGCCTGCCGTTACACAGGTAGAGCAAGAGAAAGAGAAAGAGAAGCCCAAAAAAGAAGGTAGGTCAAGATTTATCGCGTTCCTGTGTGTGTGTATGTGTGGATTCCGACAGTCAAAATTTATTGATACTTCGTTAATCCCAAAGTGCGAGAGCTTAGCGAAGAAGAAAAGCAAATGATTATTCTGTCGGAGGATTTCCAACGATTTATCGATCGTACCAGCAGAATCGTAGAGAGAGCATTAGGCGAATCAGTCGATATCTACACCGATTACACCGGTACTATGGACGGTGAAGATGGAATGTGAGTAAAAATATCAATTAAATAATTTCTTGCTGTTTTGTCCTTATAAAACAATTTGTTATATTGCAAGAACTTTTGTATGTAAATGTTTTAGTTATAATGTGAATGAATAAAATTTGATGTGAAATTAATGTATTTGTAGGGATGAGAAGAGTCACCAGCGGCTCTGGTTAAATCGCTCGTTCATGTGCGAGCGATGGTCCCGTAATCGTTGTGTAACTTCCATGGACTGGTCGCCGCAGTTCCCGGAGCTTTTAGCGGCTTCCTACAACAACAACGACGACACTCCGAACGATCCCGACGGCGTTTGTTTAATCTGGAACACGAAATTCAAGAAAACAACCCCGGAGTTTATTTTCCATTGTCAATCGCCCGTTATGTCCACCACGTTCGCCAGATTCCATCCGAATTTGATTCTTGGTGGCACTTACTCCGGCCAGATAGTACTTTGGGACAATCGAGTTCTGAAGAGAACTCCCATACAACGTACTCCCTTGTCCGCTACTGCGCACACCGTAAGTGACCTGACACCGACATTCGCTGACACTTGCTTTGATTAGATAATTTAACTTTGATTCATTCAGACATACAACGATAATATAATTGTTTGTTCCGCAGCACCCGGTGTATTGTCTCAGCGTCGTTGGAACGCAAAACGCGCACAATCTGATTAGCATTTCGACGGACGGCAAATTGTGCTCGTGGAGTTTGGACATGCTGTCGCAACCGCAAGAAACATTAGAATTGCACACCAAGCAATCGAAAGCGATTGCTGCCACCTGTTTGGCCTTCCCGCATGGTGACGTTAACAATTTCGTCATGGGGAGCGAGGACGGCACTGTTTACTCAGCTTGTCGACACGGTAGTCGCGCCGGATTAACAGAAACGTATGAAGGTCATCAGGGACCGGTGACTGGCATTAGCGCGCACGCGGTGCAAGGCGGAATAGATTTCTCCCATTTGTTTTTGACGTCCTCTCTTGACTGGACAATCAAACTGTGGAGTCTCAAAGAGAATAAACCGTTGTACTCTTTCGAGCACAATGGCGATTACGTATACGATGTTGCATGGTCGCCGACACACCCAGCGTTGTTTGCCGCTGTAGATGATTCGGGCAGATTAGATCTGTGGAATCTGAATCAGGACACAGAGGTTCCTACAGCTAGCGTTATCGTTGACGGGTGTCCGGCTCTGAACAGAGTGTCGTGGACACCCAGCGGATTACATGTCACTGTCGGTGATGATACTGGCAAAATATGGGTCTATGATGTTGCTGAGGTTCGTACCTCAATTATGTCACTAATTTTCTTGACGTTTTATAAATGCATTTTTAAGTATCGCTTCGTTTAACATGCTCGATATTTCTTCCACTACAGCATCTAGCGCATCCGAGGCTCGACGAGTGGAATAAGTTCTTGTATACGCAACAGGATCTCAAGAATAACAAAGCAGATGAAGAACTGGATAAACTTAATCTCAGCTCGGGACCGTCATCGTTAACATCTATGACGTCCATTTCAGTTCCTCTAAGATAAAAACTATAATTCTGTCGACTCAATTGATTTTTTCCTGTCTAAGATATAAAACTCATAATCGCTTTATAATGATTGTTTTTTTAAAGATTGGTTAATAGCTTTAGGGTATGTATGTTCATATAAAATATTACAAATTTTTGATTATATATATATACTCGATTCAATGATGTTTCAAGCTTATTGAAGAATTAGCCAGGCAGTTCTCCATTTATCAGTGCTAATAAAATCTCACTACATTAAAACAACTTTAAGAATTTTGAAATAAATGGTAAACAGATTAATTCTACTGTGTAGAAATATACATATATGTCTTTAGCTAATAAATAAAAAGAGATTGATTAAATCACAATACTGATTACTATTAAAAATTGTAAATAACACTTTGATGGCAAACATTTTAAAATCTTTTGAGATTTGTTGAAAAAATGTTACGTATGTGTTTTTTATAATAATTTATTGGTATTGTCAGCATTTATGAAAATACAATTGTAGATGTTATGTCAATTTAAAACTGATAATGACACGCATATGATGTATATACATACGTGTTATAAATGCAATTTTTTTTTTTTTTTTTTTTATTTTGTAGTATAACATACTTAGTAAACTATACACATATGCGTACATATGTATATGTATATATATATATACACATGTACACATACCTGTTGACATATTTATTAAAATCTCAACTTTTAAATAGTTTGCTCATAATTCATCAAATATCTTTATTAAACAATTATTACGCATATTTTAAGCATATTTAAGCACATTTATTAAGACTTTTTGTAACATTGTTTTGTTTAAATATCAATATAAATGTATTGTTTACTGTAAAGTACTGCAAATAAATTCGTTGTAAACATATATTTGATTTAATATTCAATTCATGATAATATAATGAATTATATTTATGCTCTTTTTTTTACAGAAACAATATTGGTCGTGCACAGTAATGTTATATAAACGACGGTGACGTCATTTCTGCGGCCGATGACGCATCGACATTGTAAGACAATAAAATTAAAGCCGAGTGACTAAACCAACGACTTTTGTAACGTGATCTCACCGCTCAATAATCGAAGTGTTTTCCAAATTGTTTTTCACTTAATATATTCCTTTCTCCCCTTTTTCATTTCTCCCATCAACACGCATTCTGCATTTGCTCCCAACATAGAACAGGGTGCGGTAGGACCAACACGCGCCACTCTGTGGAAGAGAAGAGGCGGGGATTAGAGGGGATGATGCATCGACTGCTAACGTCATAGGCGCCAGCGTCGATCCACGGTGAAAAGTCTGAGTCTGGCAGAAAGGTGGTGAAGTGGGGTCAATGCAAGTCGGAGAGTAAGCAGTGACAGTCGACGGTTGTTTGCCGATCCGAGCGGATTAGCGTTATACTTGTGTTGATTCTAAAGTGTTCTGGTTCGGTGCGTCTCTTCCACTTCCTTTTTCCTGTTACTTACTTTCGAAAGAATAGCAGCTGTCACAACAGCAAACAACAACGTCGCAGAAATGGGCGAGAAGACTGGTAAGTGACAAAAGAAACATTTTCTTTCTATGCTCAAATAATGTGTAAAAAAAAAATACACGAAAAAATTCGGATAAGATTGAAATCAAATTTTGTTTGGCCTACATGCGAACAGCTGACGCTTCTTTTTTTTATGCATAATCATTAGTCTCAACGTTTTGATTTTTTAATGATTTGAAATTCGAGAAAAGATCGCTGAACGAATTTTGGCGGAATCGCGATATCTACGACGACGGTTACCGATTTTATCGCGCGCAATTGATAAGATCAAGATAAGAAGAACCCTGAACACGTTTTTTTTTTTTTTTTTTATTTCTTTCGAACAGAACACATCGTAATGACGCCGAAATGCAAGACTGCAAATTCGACAACGTTAATAATAGAAAGACAGGCCCTGGAGCCTCCAGCGAAGAACGGCAATGAAAACAATGTTCACATTGCTGGTGGTGATCACAAGGGAATTGTCATCAATAAACAAGCTATAGCTGGTATATAAATATCTTTATTTATGAATCATAATATACGTATAAATTTTCGCGAGTTGTATCATAAAAAATATTCACTTCATGCAGTAACAAATGGAGAGATACGTCCTGCCCAACTCTGCTTGCAATTCAGGGTATTCCTGGTCAGTGCACAAACCGGGAAGCACACTCAAGAACAGAGAACGCTTCAGTTCTGGTTTACGGATACACTTTCTGAAGCGGAACAGCCAAGTGTTGCACAAGAGTTTTTTAGGGAGCTAGTTTCTCCACAGGAGTTTCCTAGAGGTGAATTGATATAACGCAATATGCATTGATAGCACACGTACACAGTTCATAGAACTGTATTCTTGTTTGAAATCAAATATATCCAATTTATATAACTGGAGCAATCTAACTGGCATTTCTATATTTGTTTCTCTGTAAGAATGAATAGTAGGATCTAATTTTAAACTGTCAGTAACACAAAAATAAAATCATTGACTTCTCTGTGATAAAGAATCTGAAATTCAGAGAAAACTCATATTTTCGCAAATTTTGATTTAAAAAATTTTTAAAATTTCTTTGCATGTGTAATACAGCAATCTTCATTTTGCAGATTATGTGGGATTTATAAAAAAGATAATGAAGTTGATGCAACATAAATATCCTAGTATTAAAAAACTAGAGATAGAGTTAAGGCAACTAGAAGAACCTATTACACTTCCAAGTAGACCATGTAAGTACATAATTAATTTGCTCATAGTATGTATCACATAGATATAGATACATATATATGGTATATTGAGTTAAGACATACATTCTCATCTCATCAATCTTGCTTTGGCTCAATGAAACAAAAAATCTATATGGGAGAAAGGTTAATGTTTATTTGATTAAGCTCGTTGTCCTTAATAGTTCTTTATTGAAAGACATTGGAGAAGCGTGTCTCAAGTGCACATTACAGCTGTGAGTTTAAAAGGAAATGCACACTTGACTAGAACTCTCAGTGGCTCATATCCGTTGCGTAATTTGAGTCAGAGTTTTCTCATGCACATTCTGTTCTCATCAATTACATCATATCAAAAACATATGTGGACATCTATTTCATACTTAATTTCTATTATTCACAGCTACTGGTCACTTACTATTCACACTTCCTTCTTCTGAAAAATTAATGGGGACCTCAGGTTCGAGAATGAAAACCCTTCAGCATTCTTTGTCACATTTCATTGATGTTTACTCTGTTATTTTCTCATACACAGGCTAATGGTCCAAACAAAACTGCTACACATAATGTAGTTTTTTTTTTATAACACATTAATAATTATCAAATTGGTTATAAATTTTTTTCCAGTATAATCTTAGATTTAAAAAAGAAATTTCTCTATTTGACTAGTAGATATATATTACTCTTGCTTGAATACTCTGGTAACCATAACAACATTGGCTTAACATAGTTCGTTCAGCATTATACATATTATATTATATTTGCCTGGCATTAATTTAATACTATTATAATATTTTGCTCAGCACTTCACAAAATAATAACATTTTTATCTTGTCGACTAAAAATTGACAGAAAATAAATTTTATGAATTTTTAGAATTTATTTACGCGCTCCGATTACGTAAGAAAGGATTTTCCGATTCGTTGAACGATTAATTGTTAGATAATTACATTAAATAGAGCGTAAAACATCCCACTTGGCCACTTGACACGACCTAGTTATATTCCCTATAATGTAGGGTTTATATGATATACACAACATATGCACATCATTACAGCATGACTATATATATAGACTTATAAAAATTGTTCTGTTTATTATATAGATTTTATAGTTCAATAACATATCTAACAATTTTTGGTGTAAAACTACACATTAAATATTTGTTGTTTGGATATGAATTTTCTAAAATTAGTATTTAATTTCGACAACACTGTTTTCTCGATTTATACACAAAGAGATTTATCTTACAGCATTAGATATATACACACATTATATAGATTCATACACCAATACATACATTTGATAATTATCATTCTTTTCCTTGCCCTAAAAATTTTCTAACTATGTTTAACTGACTTACGATAGCATATATATATATATATATATATATATATATATTAGTGCAGTGACATTGCCACTTTTAGTTTTCATTCTGAAATGCATCCATGTAGAGCACGAACCTTCTATTCATGGTCACACTTTAGCTGCCATATACATATATGTGTGTCCAAGTTTTACTCACACACACACACACACACCTTAGCTCTGTATCCTTCACTAACGGTTCTAGTCCGGCTCTAGCTATAGAAACAAAGACTAGTTAAGACTGCACTATTACAGCTACATTACACACATACTTTCGAAATGTTCACACATCTCTACTTCGGACAAATTAGAGAGAAAGAAATGACACACAAGTTTAGACTCATTTACACGGCAGAAAATTTAACTTGCATATGTTATGGAGTGCTGTATTCTTGTTTCAACGCTATTAACTGTAATTGAAAAATTTACAATAGGCATATGTGCAGCTTAAAAGTCTGACAAACTTCACAGTATCACTGAATCAAATTTATATGATGAAATATAAAGAAATTTCTTTTTTTTTTTTTTTTTTTTTTAAAGTATCCGCAGATGAAACCATCTTGGGTCAAGTGATCGAGCTGACAGTGGAAAAAGTTTTGGAGCTCATTGAGTCTGCTTATCCAAATCCGGTCACTGTGGTTGACATAGCAAAGTAAGTATTAAATAAAATCTGGGTAAAAAAATAGATTAAAAGAGAAAAGCTGTGTAATTATTTTATTAATAAATTGAACATTTATATTTTTTTAACAATTTCACTTTTTAGGGAACACGGGTGGGAACCTGCAGATGTGGAGGCTAAGTTGACAGAACTTCAAGAGAAAGGACTCGTGAAGGCAATGGATCATGGTGCTTTCACGCGTGTCGTTCATGAAGACACTCAAGTCAAAGTACTTTTATTATATATTTCATTGATTTAACTAATTAATTACATATTTATCTGATCGACAATGTATATCACAATATTATAACATTTATTCTTAGGTAGTGAAGCAAATGCCGACAATGGCAAGCGCGAAACAACCCACTATAGCTATCATTACAGCTCAGTATTGCGAGAAGCTTGCTGTGGATTCACTGGTTGAGAATAAGGAAACCTTCGTTCGTTACACTACTGTTGGTAAGATTTTTTTTGCTATTTGTATCCAAGATTTGGTTTCTGTCTAAGAATAATAGTCGAGAGTGCTAATAAATGCAAAACTAATTTCTAGTTTGTTTTCAGTAGACGAATAGTTTGTAATTGAATTTCTTTAGAATATTAAGATAATAGTTTTACTGACGCTCCCCTGCTTTTATTCCTGAGTACACTGTTTCAAAAAGACGAGTTACTTTAGTTATTACTCTATTTAGTAATTCTTAGATATTTCAATCTAAATTGTTTCTAATAATGAACTCTCATACTATCTCTTCTCTTCTGTGCAAATATAACTGTTGATTCGCATTAATGGCGTTATATATCCAAAAAATACTTGGAACGTATATTTCACCATGCATGAAACTTTAGGTTCCGCAAGCTCACCAAACACGACAGACGGAATTCCGCGAGTGATATGCCGTTTTGGTAAAGTAGTTTGTAATAATATAAGTCTATCATTTTATTGTCATTTCATAGCTTGCCAATCGCTGGGCCATGGTGCTGTAAACATTTCGAAACACCGTTGTCAGGCTTCCTTTCATGTCACAAATCATTTTATTTGTGTTATTTTAAGTGATATTTTGTTGTCTGTTTTGTATTTCACTAATTACTTTGTTTTGTAACTACGTTCATTATTAATGTTGCATTTTTGTGTTCGATTTACATGTAGTAGCATTAGTTAAACTTGTTTATGTTTTGTATTTGTTTATTTTATGTACATACATTATCGGCGTGTATTAATTTCCATTAGATCTATTTTCGATCTGTATTTGCATTTTTAGTAGTTTTTGGGTTTCAAGTTTTCTTCGTATATTCCGGAAATAGAAAATATTCTTTTTTATTTCTTTATTCTTATTTCTTTATTCTTATTAATGACTTTATCAAGAATTTTAATATAGAGTATTAATATAGTATTAATAGAGTATTTTTACATTTTTAATAACCGCATCTGTAAAAATATATTACGACACTTATATATATTCATAAGAAGATTAGATACAAGATTTATTAAATAGATTTGTGATATTTGCTTCCGTCGTTTTTTTGTCTAGTATCAATACTGGACTTGGATAATGCATTATATAGAGTGAAGTCATTTGTTATTTATATTTTATCATCACACATATGACACATCTTACTTATCAGGTTACGTCTTATTATGTCCATAGTCGCACGTGCACATGTATCATACACAAGAATAGAGGGAATACTTAAAATACATAGAGATATAGAAAGCAAATAGATATTGTTTGTTTTATAGGGGAATCAAACGTATATACTTTGGGCAATATCGGTACGCACAGAATTGTGTGCACTAAATTGCCAACTGTAGGCCACACCAGAGAAGCGATGACCGCAGCAGGCAATACCACTACTAGATTGTTAGGTATGTTGTTTTTATTTTTTTTCTCTTTTTTCTTAATTCCTTTATTGTTTGCAAAATGTTACGTGTTATGTCCTTTTTATATTCACAGGTACTTTCCAAAAAGTGGATTTTGTCTTTCTTGTCGGAGTTGGTGGTGGTGTTCCTCACTATACAGATTACAATAAACACGTGCGACTAGGCGACGTTGTGATATCGCATCCAACGCCTCTCAACAAGAAGTACGCGTACGTCTATTGCGAAAACGCCAAGATGAACGAAAGCGGAGACTATCATTTTGAGACCAAAGAATATTGCCCGCCAAATCTTATTCTTCAAGAAATCGCGGCGACTTTGATAAAACAGGTAAATTGACCAATATTTTATATGTTATGTTTTTATTCTAAGATAATTGGTTTTTTTTTTTTTTTTTTTTTATATAGGCTGAAAACGAAACACTTCCGCCGTGGCAGACGCACATGAAGGAAGGTTTAGAGAATCTGATTAATCAGTCGGAACACGACTTCAACCCACCACCACTGGAATCCGATAAACTCTACATGGCTATTGGAGAGAGGGACGTCATCGAAGTAGCACATCCAACCGCACCTCAGGATTCGGCAAATAAAAGGTAAAATTATAATCAAATTTAGAATCTATGTGAAATGTTATTATTTATACAAATAAATATACAATATATATATATATATATTTCAGAAATGACAGATGCTCTCGCGTGCACTTGGCACCTGTGGCGTCCGGCCGGCAGATCGCAAGGGACGATCAACTCAGACAAAAATTCGCGAGTCGATTCGGAGCACTTGCATTTGACGCGGAAATGGACGCCGTGGTCGAGAGTATTTTAGGTAATTGCCGCGAGAACTTCGCTGTAATTCGCGGTATAGCCGATTACAAAGACGGCACTCGAATCAAAGAGTGGCAACCTTATGCGGCGTTGGCGGCAGCCAGCGTGATGAAAGCTATCATTTGTGCTATGGATCCACCGACCAATGACTAATGCTCTTTTTTGAGCTTTGTTGACTGCAATAGTAGGTACAATAAAAAAACACGTATAATTTATCATAGGACAGATAGGATATAAAATCAAAAACAACTATTATGCATAATATTGCACTAAATACATGAAAATGACATGAGTAGTTTAATTTTGACAGGTTCCTGACTCATATAAAAAAAAAAAAAAAATGAAAAATTACACAACACTACTTTCATGTAATATTTCACGCGTCGCTCAAATGTTTTATAGATTTTCTTACAAATAGTGCCATTTTCACACTTAACTGACAATATTTTTTAGAAAATGTTTCTATATTTCATATTTACGTAATTAACGTCATTAAAAATAAGATCAGTCAAATATCTTTAAAAATAATCGAAAACTGTTTATATCTTTTTACATCTTTTGCTACGGCCTGAAACAAAAATAGTGCCATTATTTCTGATCATTTTCTATAATATTGCGTAACAGTTTCCTACTGACTTTTTCGTGTAAATACATTTTTATATATTTGTGTTGCACGTGTATATTAAAAAATATTTGAAGTCGGGTATTGACATGGATTTTATAATTAAGATCATCTTAAATTTATGATACACAGGCCGTTTTATTGGCTATAGACCATTTGAGGAGTGAGAACGTAAGACGATCTTAAATATAAAATCCGACTACGGGCTTAAGAATGTTAAAAAACTAACTGAATTACTATAAACTTAACAAAGACGACGCTTTACAAAAGATTTATTTTAGCAATAATTTATTTTAATTTGGCAGCTATTTGCTTTTATTGTGACTAGGATGAGGTTTAGACGAGATATAAAACACAAAATAGATTAATTTATTAAACAGATAAACCAATCTAGTTGTATGATGGATGCAACAGGAAGCTGAAAGTATACTTTGACAGTATTTATCAAATCAGAATCAAATGGTGGTCACAGTTCTGCTGGAGTAATTATTACATGTTTGCCAGTTTATACATCTATCGATGTTTACAAAAAAAAATTATATATATGTATTCATTCTATATTTACACTATATATATCCACGAGAATACACGAACAAATACATTTCTCTAAAGTCATATATGATGGGGTGCGCAACAAATATGTCTAATAAGATGTGCCAACGTGTTCATACTTGTTAAATTTTCACTGCCCTTTTATGATCTGGATATTATCTTCAAAAATTTTCGAGGTAAACTTTTTCCAAATTTCTACATCAGATTTTCTCGATTTTAATTAACGTAACATTTTTCCTCGTACTTAAGAAATTCTAAATATATTTAAAGATCACAGGGTAGTGCGCACAAATCTTAATATCTAAATATGAAATTTTAAAAAAGATGGATTTAAAAAAAAAGAAATATATTATACACATGTATACTAGATGCTGTTACTGCTGGAAAAAATCTTAAAATATTAACAAAAAAATCAAGAGTGAGTAATTAAGAACATTTAATTCTAACTATCTTAAAACAGGCATAAGTAAAGTATATTTATATCTATTTATTTATTTATTATTTCTCTATATCTTTTACAGATATTCCTATCAGTTTATTTTCGTATCAATATATAGAAATAATTTCACATATGTTTAATATATGTATTATATATTATATATAAGTTACACACAAATTTATGAAGTTTCTTATTACACATACAGATGCGGCAGTATTAGTGGTAATAACTGGGAAGAAAGATAATTCTTTCTTTCTTTGTTAAGAAAAAAAGGTTGAAAATGTAAAGAATGGAACTTTTTCGTGTGAGACTTGGTTTTCGAGGAAATCGATTTTCTCAAAACTGAAAACTTTATATCATAATTTGTTTACTTTTTATTGCGCGCTTAATTGTTTGAGCGTAACAGAAAAAATGTAATAGTTTAAATTTAAGTTCTGAAATATGAAAATTAATTTTTTCAAAACCCAAACAATTAGCATCACGAAAAACTTTTATTCCTGGCACCACTTGTCCTGCCGCACTCTGTATAGCCTTAATTCAAACATTTACTTTGCTTATGTGTAGCGAGAGCACTGAATAAAATTATTAAATGATAGAAGGATCTAAAGAATTAACACAAACGCGCTAAATGCAGTCACTTGTTGCGTTAGAAGCACACATTTGAAACTTTATCAAATTTAGAAAATAATTATGATATGATATACACACATACAGATACGTAAAGAAATATAGAATCTATATATGCGTATATAGAACAAAAATACACAAAATAGTTAATATAAAATCTTTTCTTTTTTTTCGAGTGTATTTATGCGCGCGAGAGTTTACGTTACATTATGAAATTTTAGATTATAAAACTTACTTGATTAACTTACCTGATGACAGATTCCTATATTTTAGGCCTAAATCTTAATTGTATTATAAAAATGATTGAGACGATATTTCTTTATTATATTAATCGAGGCTTATAGAAATAGCTTCGAGCTTCCAATTGCGCATTTGTATTTGCGTTATTATCACACGTTTTCGATAGTCTAGTCGCATAGTCTGTGTTTTCTATATATCTGTACTGTATACTACTATACGTATTAGACATTTGCGAATAATTACCAATAGCGCTAATATATTTTATGCTTTTGCGAATCACTCATGTGATTATAATTTTTAAAGATTTTAGTTCATAATGCAATCTTTTAATATCTCTAGAAGCCTTCAACACGTGATACAGACAGAGTTGGGAACATATTAAAATACGACATAGTATTTAATTACGACGTTTAATTATCTTGTAAATTTCAACTAATCTTTCGTCATTTTTAGAATAGATTGAATTTATCTAGATAATTAAAACTTATTGTGAAACGTCGAACCGTCATGGCTTCCGGAAGAAAGTGTATGTTTCATATCCTGTGTCCGCGTATACTTGAATTAGTCTTCCGGCAAGAATTTATCAAGATTTTGAAAACAAGATCTTGATATACGAGCTTAGGTATTAATACGTACGGTAATATAGAAGCTAGAAAGTGCCCATTAATTATTACATTACAATGTTAGAAGAAAAAAATTACTTTATTAAATTATCTTACGATTCGTCATATCTGCGCTATAAATTCTAAGGTGCAACAATCTCAGTGCGATTAACAGTTGTGCAACTTCGTTGTTAGATGTAATATGAAAAAAAAAGCAGCTTTATCTTTTCTTTAACGTGAGTTATAAAGATAAAGAAAAATAACTGTGCACTTTTATTTATACGACTGATGGCAATGATTGATTAGCACGTGAATTGCAGCAGGGTCCATAAATAACATTCATTATTGCTGCGCGATGTTTGCCCAGAGAAAGTAGACTAAGATGAAATATTTAATTCTCTGCTTCACAGCAGAACAAAAGCTGTGATAATTCCGGTTTATTCTTTCGTCCAAAGCGAAAGAACGTGGTGTTGGCCAGGTGGTAGAAGATAATCGGATACGACGCTTGTCGATTTTGTTACCGGAACTTACGCACCGCAATTTACACATTGTACACGTGCGAAGACAGAGTGCGTTAAATCACAAAAAATTTAAACATATATAAATATTAATTTAATTTGGAAAACGTGTTTAGCGCTCGATTTGCATCTAAGTCACATAAATGTATTGTATTACAAATAGTTCATTATTTATTTACATTGCAATATTGTAAATGTATGTTTTTGCTCTTTCATTCTTTTTGTTCTTTCGTAACGATTGTTCTAAAAATAAGTTGAAAAAAGAGATGTATTAATATATACATTAATATATATATGATATACAATCGTTAATATCCTCTTTGTCAATGTGTACCTTAAGCCAAAGACTATTCTTCTTTTATCTAACATCTGTCCTTCATTAATTTTCCTCAGTAAAGCTTGATTTTTCATTATCACTTTCAGTCTCAATGTCGTATTTCACGGCTTTTACTCTCTGCGTTTCCTGTTCCTTTCTGTCCAATTTGCCGTACTGATTCCACGGCTGTTCCTTCGAACTACCGAATAATATATATATGATACAACCGACTATGGAATTGGCAGCTGCAATGATGAAGACCAAGTGCCACTGTTCCACGGTTTGCTGTAAACCGATACAAGTTTATTGAATAAAGTTTCTTGCTGCAAATGCGATCTAACGGAAAAATTGAACTCACGTTATTATTAGTCAACGTGCCAACAATCACCGGTGAGATAAAACCAGCCCATATAATAATCATACCAGCGAATCCGAGGATGATGCTAGCGTAATTCGGACTGAGATCAACGAAGATCGCCAGGGTAGAGGCGGAGACAGCGCCGTTTACCGCAGTGCCGATCATCATGAAGATGACTGCGAGCAATGGGTGACATCCGCTGTATCCGAGTACTAAAATAAAAAGACCTTGAAGGCCGGTGCATACAAAAGTGGCCATTTTTCTGACGTTCGTCAAGCTCATTCGTTCTGTACGGAGCAACCAGTCGCTCATCATCGAATAGAAGTACGAGAAGACCATTCGGAGCACGTGTGGTGCTCCTGCTAAGAGGCCAGTCTAAAGAACCAATTGAGATTTTGATTACGGACATGAAACTCCAAGTAAATACTTTGCGAATAAACTTCAAAAATAAATTAAAAACTTGAAATAATTGTAGAAAAAAAATACTTGTTTTATTATATAGATTACATGAGAAAGAACAACGGAACTTACAGTGTTGATATGCCATCCGTGAATGACAGTGAAATAAGTCGGTGCTTGCGTCATGAGAGTCAGGAAGCCCCAACCCATGCCCCAATGTGCGACAATGCCTATCCATACCTGCTTCGACAAAATTATCGATTTCCAAGGTATTTGAATGTTTTTCTCGTTGACGGAATCGGCGATATTTTCCACGATATAGTTTTTCTCATCATCAGAGATCCGCGGATGTTGCTGCGGTGAATCGTACACAAGGAAATGCCAGAAGAAATACCTTCGATTTGACAATTCGCCGAATCGTCAAAGAAATTTATTTAAATACAGAAGTAATACAAAAAAATTTGTCGCTACTTTAACATAAAAAGAAGCACTCACCAGATTAGACCCAGCAAAGACGTCGCGTGAAAAGATGCGCCCCAACCTAAGGAAGTGGTAAGAGCTGCACACAGAGGATAAGTGATCGCGGCTCCCACGGAACTTCCTGAAAATTAGTTCGGATCAAAATTTACGGTAAGTAAAATTTGTCTCTTATCGTAATTTACTTGCGTTTCGCGCAATGGAAAACGATCGGCGCCGTTTATTTCTCACCAAGATAAGCGCTGACAAATCTGCTTCTTTCGTTTGGCGGGATCCATTTGGCGGTCATGTCGTGCATCGATGGCCATATGACACCCTGGGCCAAAAATCGAATAATAACGTTTACGAAAGAATTTGAATCTTGATTCTAAACAAATCTCTAATTTTCACAGAAAATCGGCTCACCGCGACTAGTCCTTGCACCACTCGAAGCAATATAAACGCGTAAAGATGCGTCATGTAAGGAATGAGAAATCCTAGGAGAGCCGTTATGAGATTTCCTAGCCCAAATACAAGCTTCGTGCCGTATCGTCTGGCTAGAAGACCACCGGGTAGTTGCAGCAACCAGTGCAACCAGTAATAACCACCCAATACCAATCCTTGTTCGTACTCGTTCCAAGAAAACCGATCTTCGTACTAAACAGATTAGTGAAGTTTGAGGAGAATATCAAATAACGCGCTAGAGTCTTTTTTTTTAAATTGACGTTTAAAGGTATATGTCTCATAGATGTTTTATAGAATAGTTCGTAAAGAGAGAATTATTGCGAAAAGATTTAAAGAAACATTATCTTCAAGTAATTATGTACGTCTCTCTCTCAAGAATACCGTAACATTGTGCGACGATATTGTAAGTGGTGAAGTGACGTTATCCCGTAACGTTTTGTTGTTAATCCCGGATGACGTGCTATTCTCTACGTTACATTGCGCGATCGCGGCAGGTTTTTGTTGTGGTATCACCATTGCGACTATAGTGATGTTCAAGTTCAATCTTAGCATGTAATTAATGGCGAAACCACAAAAGGCCAGGCACCATAAAACCTGTCGGCAATTAAATATCTCCTTCTCTGTAACATAAAAATTTTGCAATTTTGTTTTTTGTTTTAAATTAATTAAATGCATGCAAAAACAAATCTAAGCTCTAAGATTAATCTCAAGATCCGAATATGTGAATATCGGCCTAAAATTCACAATACCGTGAGGAAAGTCAATAAAGATAATGCGATAAACATTCTTTCGCGCAAATATTCTTTCGCATTATCTACCGCACAGTGTGACGTGTGCGTTTGGTTTTCACGCGTATATATAATTTCAATTATTCATTTATGACATACGTGTCAAAGAAAACGCGATAGCGTAAACACATATTCCTAACACATATACGTGTATAAAAAAAAAAAGTACTTACTTTTGCCCATCTCTTTGCCCGCCGCTTATCAATTAATTCAATTAATGTCACTATTCAATTAATATCACTGATTGTGAGATTGATCTCTCAACGCGCATCACTTTTTTTCACAATTTTCACATAACGATATTCGCAAACCTGTGTCGCGTTTGACACGTTTCCAAAATTAGAAAATTTTTATTTCTCGCGTTATATAGGTCGACTTCTCTCGTCACCTAACTAAGCGATCTCTCTTACTAATATAAATTCTCATATTATGGCAAATAAGAATTCTTGATCTCTCTTCAAATGTGTATGTTAATCAGTTAGTGTCACGGCAAACACTGCATGACTGTTCCGCAAGTAGAATCGGTGTGTGCACCGTAGGAGAATCAGCATACAATCCTCTACCCTCGCGGTAGTCACGATAAATGAACACGCGTTCCTCTGTATAAATCTTCAAATCTTTTCTGTTTGTCCTTGAGTTTATAATCCCCGTGCCAATATTTTGATCGCGTTCTATCTTAATTCATCGGAGAACGAATCAAATGGTTACATTTAATTTGTGCGCGCGATGCGGTTCTATATACATATATAACGTTACGATAACAGATAGTTTTCTCTCGGATAATTGAATATAACAACGTCACATCAATTTATTACTATTGTGTGTGCTTCCACGCTAACGTTTCTCAACTGAGGTTTGAGGTCTTAGCACAGTAGTTCTTGTGTGTTTTCATTTTTTCACAAAATATTATTAAACATTTATTAAAAACATTACAACGTTATTATTTTTAAAATATGTTATAAGTAGGTTTAAATCGATTTTAAAAATATATTAAAAATATTGGTCGTCTCTCTCTCTCTTTTCGTAAAGTATCGATTAAGAGGAGACCCGCACCTTGTATAAATATGCAGTGTATATATAGGTGTGTTACGAGCGAAGATACACAATTACTTAATTATCTTATGAGTAAACAAAGCGTTTTTGATTGTTATTCCTATATTTAACCGTAAAATAAAGGCATCTCTCAAATACCTACGTACACTGGCTGATATTGTCGTCTTCGTTTCGATTAATCAACTACTTCTTTTCTCTTACGCACCTATAGATACTCATATATCAGTTTAAAAAACAGGATTTTCAGAGAAAAGATATTTTCACATTTTTTACACTTTTTTTTATTTGTACACATTTTTAATTAGTTCCTTGAATAAGATATTTTATTTTTTTCTCTATTTCTACGATTCTTGATAATAAGATGTTATCACTCTGCATCTATATGACGTGAACAAATAAATCCTTTTTTCCGCACGAGACAGTGATGTTTTTGTTTTCAATGATTGCACTTGGGTAGATTGCGTGATCGCTGAAAATTTATAGTAGTTATTACAACTCATATTTAGCTCATAAATCATACAGTGAGTGATATAAACTCATCATCGAATGTATGTACGTCATTGTAATTATGAGAACTAGTTAATTTGTCGCGCATGTTCTGCCCAAGCCAATCGCAAACTTGTTCTCATTGCTATGATATGACGTTTGCAGCGAAACTTGCCATGCAAATAAATTTCATGGTCAGATCTTGCCAATTAGAGTCTAATTTCCATTTGGATTCACTTTGTGAACTGTCAAATGAGAGAATCCAAATCGCGACGTATTTATTACACATTATTTAATTATTAATCCGATCTGATAAAATTTTATTATATATATTGGATTTATTAATATATCTTAAATATATTTTTGAAATTATTTTCTTTTTTAAATGACATAATGTCAGTTACATATAACGCCTATATTTTTATAAAGTTGTATTTAAAAAGTTTCAGTATCGTGGATATATAATTTATAATTGTGGATATATAATTTACCTCACCATGAATAAAAATCGAATAAAAACAAGGATTTTTAGAATATAATTACTATTTTACATTATAAATGACTTCACACATATATAATTAATATATGTTTATTAAAATTAATCTTATCACATTGAAAGAGCTGCAAAAAAGATCGATTTAGCGTATTTAAAGAACGATATTAACTACTTTTTTATTATTTTTTATTAACATTGTTCAGTAATAGCAGTTACTCATTTTAATCAATATTGCTGATAGAGATTGCTGTTTTCTAGCGTAAGCTTGTTTCAACCGGAATTTCAATCCTACTTACTTGATTTTCTGATCTCATATAATCGTCATTTCTAATTGCCTCACAAAAGAGATAGCGATATGTTATGCGTGACGAGAGAGAACACGCGCCGCATTCATTTTTCGTCTGATAGGATTCGAGCAGACAAATTATCTCCGACGTGTTGCTTTTTGATGTCATACAAATTTCATCATCGTCAATCGCTTAGGAATAGCAAATAATGTGGCTAGAATATCTGATGATTATATTCGCCTCTAATAATAATAAACAATATATGTATACACAGCAAATGTGTGTGTATTAATACTCGTGTGATTGTTTTTAAACATTGATTAACAAAAATTTTTGAAAGTTATTTCTTTTTCTCAAATCTTAATATCAGTGTTAATTACTATTAATATTGGTAATATTATAATTAACTAATATTTTTTATTCTCGTATATTGTCTTTTCTATTGAGTAGTTTTTCATCTCATCGCACTTGTTTGTCTAAAAGGACAGAGAATAATAACGGGAAGTAACGAGATAAGATGTTTTCTAATCCATCCGATTGTTGATTATCTTATGAATTTTTGTCTTAGATAAATGACAGTTACATGTGTGTGATACTAAAACAAATGACATTACTTTAATGAATACGAGAAACCTATATAAAAAAAATACATGTATATGCAAACTTACAGGTATTTGATACGTGTTACATTTAGCGTTAAAGAGAGCGAGTCTTATCACATGTTCGTGTCAACTTAAATTACGTCGTTCTTTTGCAGATCAATCTTAGTGTCGATATAGTCGATGATTACATATAAACTTCGAAATCCACGATTACGAAATTCGTATCATCCATAATATTTCTCAAGATGTTTTACATTTGACGTAAATTAATCATGTACAAAATGTACAAACACACGAACACGAGTTTTGCATGATGCAACATCGCTTTTTGCTTCCTCATTGCTCGAAAGAGGAATGAGAGGAACCGGAAAAACGAGTATTCGCACAAAAGGCAAGTAAAAGTGTTAACTTCCATCGATTTTTTTTCAGGTTCCCATTTACTTTAAACAGAATCAAGGAGATAGCGCCAACCGAGCAATTTCCCTTTCGCATTCCTTGGCTGTTCCTTTTTCACGATCAACCGGCAATTTCTAGTCAGAAACTGATTACAGTAATTTTACTTGCATCGAGATAAATCACCACTACTGTGTCCCGTTTCGCAACATGTACACGACAAAATCATTTTTCACTCGCCGCTTTCCAATTGTAACACTTGCTGATACGTTTCTTTTCTAATTTCGCTTGCGCTGTTTAATTGCACGTTGTTGGTTATAAAAAAAAAAAAAAAAAAAAAACGATTTGCAAGATTGAACGTATAAAAAAGATGATAAAACGCAAGTGATTTTTAAAAATATTTATTGTCAAACGAAAGGCAGAGTACGAGTATAATATACAAGGTGACCGTGTATTGACTTTATTTGTTGCAAGATTTAATTCAAACCATCCTATAAACATAATGTCAGACACAGAAAAATTAAAACCTTATTTCTCATTGTTACGGCCGATTTCTTCATACCTCTCGATATAGCTATCCTCTGGATAAATTTCTCTGAGAACCAATAACGGTCGATTTCTGCATACCTTTCGATATAGCTATCTTCTGGATAAATTCCTCTGAGAACCAATAAGGAGAACCAATTTTGGGAGATATCTTCTAGATAAAGTTATCGAAAACTTATCTAGAAGTGAAAAAATTGTCTGTAAGGAGAACCAATTTTAGGAGATATCTTCTAGATAAAGTTATCGAAAACTTATCTAGAAGTGAAAAAATTGGCTGTTAGAAACACATAAAGACAGACATGGAAAATAAATTCAACGGTTTGACTTTATTGTGAAATTTAAAAGGACTTACAAGGTTTTACGACAATAGTGGAGATAAACATATATAAATAGTTGTTTTGTGTGAAGACGTCATATCACTGTGAATTTACTAACATGTGTACATCTTACAGCCAATTTTTTCACTTCTAGATAAGTTTTCGATAACTAAATTGTTTCTCTTTATTGGTTCGCAGAGAAATTTATCCAGAGGATAGCTATCGAGAGGTATGAAGAAATCGGCCGTTAAACGACTTGTTTTGAAGATGGTGATATGACTCCTGTTTTGGATACTTGATTGGTGAGAGATCATTATTTTTGTTGTATATTTAATAATTTGTAATCATTTACTGTAATTGTTTTTGTATAATAATGTTAACAGATATTCACTGATGATGAAGATCTGAAATAGATTGAAACGTCTGAATTAAATCTTGCAACAAATAAAGTCAATACACGGTCACCTTGTATATTACTGCCTTTCGTTTGAAAATTAATTTTCGACGAGTAACAATTTATTATTATAAAATATTTATTATTTTCTGTCATGAAATATCACTATTTGATTACATGTTTTTTTCATTTGCTATATTATTGTTTTCAAATGTATATAATTATAGGATTTCTTATTGTGATTTCTTAGATATTTTTGCGTGCACAAATAATTTTAATTTTAATAAAATTAGATATTTTTGTGTGCACATTGAGAAAATAATGTTAACTTCGATAAAATTAACAATTAATACTATTTTTATATATCAGTAATTTAAAATTTATTGCAAATTAGAGACATAATTTCCGTGCTACTAAAACTTAAATAATTTTTAGTTAATATCCATTAAATAAATTAATATATATATACATTATAATTCAAATTTGTGTCTTTATGAAATTACGAGGTCAATTATATATTTTGTAGATACAATGTTTGTGACGCAATGTTTTTGAGTATTTTTGACGCCACAGTTTTTGACGTCTGTGATAAGTTGCGATTATCCGGGCGTGTTATGTTTTCATTAATAAACGTGTATTGCCCTCGCGAAGCAACTCTCTCAGTTCTGATTATAAGCTGGTCGCGATTTCATCAGAAGAATATGTATGCATACGTGACTCTCTCACGTAGAAAGAAATTTTTTCCATATTCACGCTAGTTAGTTAAAAGCGTGGGGAGAGCAACTAGCATGGTGCAATAAGTGGACTTGCTTTCGTCTGGTCAGTCTTAATTCAGCTTTTGATCGAGTCAGTTCGCCCAATCGTTCGTAGTGATTTTTTGTGCCAAGTGCTGGCAATTTAACTTTTACACTTCTCGCTTGTTATTTGCTGAAAACAAATTTCTCTGTCAGATAGAGCTTTAAAGCTCGTCACGCTTTGCGTTACAATTGTGTTGATAAACAAAGATTAGAAGTGATAGTATTAAAGAGAGATAGTATTAGAAAATTGTACTTAATTGATTGCTAATAGTATTACTCTACGAAATAAGAAACTGCAGTAATTATTTAAGAGAGATTATTTTATATAACACTTTCACGACAAGTCTCATTGGAGAAAAGGAACATAAAGTCGTACGTAATATTTTTGTACTTCAAGAACCTATTTATATCATTTTTTTTTTTTTTTTGCCAAGTTCTTTTAGTCCTACAAGAGTACAAATACGTAAAATTTCTTCAGGCGGAAGTAGACTTGCCGTCGAGGAAGTATGCCAAGCAGTAAGACAAGAATCGCTATTGTGGGCGGTGGAGTAGCTGGTTTGGTGGTGCTTCGTCATGTTCTATCCAAGTTGGATACTTACAATCCCACCCTGTTCGAACAGACCGATCAGATCGGTGGTACGTGGGTTTATACCGACGAAACGGACGTCGACAAGCACGGATTGATGATCCACAGCAGCATGTACAAGAATCTTAAGTGAGTGGATTTTTATTGAACAAATAAAATAAAGCTTTCAAATACTCTGAATAAAAGATAAAAAGAAAGAACGTTAATACAAGTAGGAGAAATGTTCGTACTTGTTATTTAAATAGACGACACACACATTATGCAATTACTGGAAAACAAGCGGAAATTGAAGTGGAAAAACAAGCGGAATATTGTATAAGTTATGTGTCAAAGACGGGACTTCGGATGTCAGATCTTGCATAACCAGCAGCAGCAGCTGAGCGAAGCATCTCGCTATCTTTTAAAAAACCGAACGCATCGATCTCTCCTCACATTGGTTCTTTATTATAGTTCCATTATAATAATGTAAATGTTAAAATCAATCCAAAGAGATAAAATAAGAAACTACAATTTTGAGATGATTTTCGAGTCGCAAAAGTCAATCTCCACCGATTTCTGTAAATTTGTACTTTAGACTTTACGTATCAGAGAAACTTCGTTGGCCTATATACTTTCATAGATAAAGCAACACTATGTTGTGTGACAATTAAGTTTATGACAGATCTTTTCTTACTTGATCACGAGGAGAACAATAAGAAGTCATGAATCTCGTTCGATTACGGAAAATAAACACATGTAGAGATTCGTGTACGCGCAACGCGCAGTCTAACTTTATATAAACGTGATAAACTTTGCTGACACGCGATACACTTTGCGACACATTAACTAGACGACCGTTTCTTCGCGACCAGTTCCGGAAAGACTCGAAGATTATTTGATGAATCGAGTAACAAACTTATCATTAATGACATAAAAAATATCAGACAGAAATGGAAAATTCTAAAACAAGCGTCTAGTTTGTAAATTATATATAGTTATAGTCAGTTAGTTATTTCATATATAATTAATCGCGCGCACAAGAGCGGATGAAAGAAAGAACGGTCGAGACGATATGTTCAATTGTTTTGAATAAAAACTGCTTAAGATTTAAGCATTATTTTTAATAAAATCCAGCTTGCAACTTTTTTTTTTATCGCCAAATGGTGATATATCGTGGCAGGTCGTCTCATATCTTTTGAACTTCGTAAGAAGTTTAATAGACGTGCGCGCGTATGATTAATGTTAATTATAATCAATTTTAAGAAAAAAATACTCTTTTCTCATTTCAGAACAAACTTGCCGAAAGAAGTGATGCAAATACCTGACTTTCCCTTTCGGGATCAGGAGGGTCCGTCTTTCGTTCATCACAGCGTGATACGGGAATATCTCTTGGACTACGCTAACCATTTCGATCTCCATCCGTACATTAAAGTAAGTTCTTGAAGTTTATTTTTAAAGAGACAATTTTTCTGCTTTTCGCAAATCGAGCGAGATTCATTTATTTCTGCTCGTTTCTTAGCTCAGCACATTGGTGAAGCACGTGGAGCCGGAAACTCTGAAAAACGGTCAAACATTATGGACGCTGACGTACGTGGATCTAGAGACCAAAGTAGAAACCACGAAAACCTTTGACGCCTTGGTTCTGTGCAATGGTCATTACACTGTCGGTCATGTTCCGCATATTCCAGGTATCGATAGTTTCCGCGGTAAATGCATCCACAGCCATCAGTACAGAATGCCGGAGATTTTTGCCGGTCAGAAGGTCTGCATACTCGGCGCGTCCTGGTCCGGCATCGATATCGCCCTCGAAGTGTCGGAATACGCTGACAAAGTACGCCGACGAAGTTCTGCGTCGAGTATTTCTCTCGTATTCGTAGAAAAAAATACAATCATATTTCTCGATTTTTTTTTTTAATTTTATTCCAATCGGACTTTTACATGCGTCTATCATTCGCGAAGATATTGTTCTTTTAATAAACTGAAACAAAATCTCTCTTTTTCGAAGTGTAACGTGTACGAACAGTATCGATGACTCCTCGTGTGATTTTTCTTGGTAATATCTACAGGTGTATCTGAGCCATAATCTGTCGGAAGTCGACTCGAAGCTGCCGAGCAACGTCGAGCAGAGACCCGGAATCGAATCCATCAAAGAAAACGTCTTCATCTTCCGCGACGGATCCACGGAGGAAGTGGACAGTTTCATATATTGCACTGGTAATAATCCCAAAATTGTCATCCCGGACTATCTTTTTTTTTTCTTTTTTAATGAGATTGACTTCTTCGTCATTCACACTCAAACGAATTTTTTCGCAGGTTACGAGTTCACGTATCCCTTTATGTCGGCTAAAGTTGAGATACGTACGAACGATAACCACGTCGAACCAATTTACAAGCAATTCGTTCACATGGATTACACAAATTTGTTCTTCATGGGTTTGCCAGCGTATGTGGTGCCGTTCCCGATGTTCTATATTCAGGCGCAATACATTCTCGGAATTCTCGAAGGTCGCATTCAACTGCCGTCGCCGCAACAAATGCGCAAGGAATTCGAGGCCGAGAAGCAGTCCTTGGTGGACCAAGGCATTCCGGTAAGACTGATTTGTTCAAGTTCCGATATAAGAAAAAAATTTCAAAGTACAGGAAAAAAGGAATGAACCATTTGTGTGATACTTGAAATTGTTTTGTTTATATTTTGTAAAGTAAGAGTGCAAATTTATTTGTTACGCAGTAAACTATACAAACGTACGCTTGTAGAGGAAAACACACTTTTACTTCTAATGCAAAAAGATATAACACGTTGTAAAATATAAACTTCTTCAAAACTTTTTTGTATATATAAAATTTAAATGTGTAATTGTTTTCTTATGTTAGCTGAGATACATCAACAAGCTCAAAGACAAGCAATGGGCTTACTATGATGAAATAACGGCCGCTGCTAAGATACCGAGTTTCCCGCCGGTGATCAGGATGATCTACGACCACGTCAGTAAAATGCGCGATATTAACTTCACTACTTACAAGAATTACAAATATCGCATCATCGACAGCGAGAATTTTAGCGTGTGTTATTACAAGCCTTGTTAGGGTTTACGCAAAGAAGATGTAAAAAGCGAATGTAATCTTATCGCAAAATAAGTTACATGGGTTCAAAAGAGCTTCGACGAGCAGTGATGAAAGATTTGACCGGCCAGCACCAAGAGTGGGAGCCACTGGGAGACGCACACAAGCGAGAACCGCCGTCCGTGTGCGTAACGGCGGTTCGCTTGTGTGCGTGCTCTCAGTGGCTCCCATCACCTCGGTGCTCTTAGTGCTGGCCGGTCAAATCTTTCATCACTGTCGACGAGTCGTTCTTATTTCTCAATTAAAGCACCGTTTCGCCGCAAGCCAATATAAATGTTGTAACGAATCGTTTCGATCAACTGGAGTTTTTGTTAATGAGAATCAAACGAGGCTGTTTGACACATTAACGAGTCTTATTATTGATTACCTGTTTCTATACAAGATTGACTCGCAATATTGCTTGTTACATGCTAGAGAGATATAAAATAAACGGATCGAAATAATTATAAAGATGTATTTTGGAAGTACACATTTTTTTTCTATTACAGGATATCACGCGCTTTAATATATTAATTGTATATATACTAATGTGTATAATTGTATATATACTAATTGTATAATTACTAAATAATTTTTTGTCTTTTAAGAAGTATAAAGAGAATACAAAACTGGAAAAACTATTTCTGTTTTCATCCGCTAATGTGCTGGAAAGTTACACACGCACACAATATAATAACTTGATCATTTAATCCTCTGTCAGCGGACTCAAGATCAATTTTGATGATTTAGCAGTTTATATTGACGCTTCAATCAGATAAACAAAAATATAACTCTGCACAACTCTCTATCGCGCATTCCGCTGTTTGAGGATTAAAGTATAGTATATTGAAAATATTATTGAGACTTATTTTAACAAATTAACGACAGACAGAATTACAGTTCGTCGTGTGTTTGCAAGTGATTTGTCACAAAATCGTACAAATCTTCGAGATTACGCGAGCCACTGTACTCGGAAATTTTACGTCCATTTCTATATAAGTACAATGTCGGAAAACCATCTACCTCTTGTTCATCGCACAACTGTTTACTTGCGTCAAGAGTACAGTCGACCTTGACGATATTTACGTTATCGTTGCCGAAAAATTTCTTTCCCAATTCCTCCCAGGTAGGTGCCAGACGTTTGCAATGGCCGCACCAAGGCGCAAAGAATTTAACAAAAGTAAGACCTTTTTCGACACCATGTTTGAAGCTATCGGCAGTCAGGCTCAGTATAGCGTGCGCGGCTCCGTTAGCGTTTTCGCTCTTCTGATTTGCCTCATCAGCATTTTTGAACAGCATCATCAACACGTACGCCTTTAGATCTTCGTGAGTGCGTTGGCCAGTATATTTGTCTACCTAGAGAAATAGAAATTCCATTTCGCAATTTTCCTCTATGTGAATTATTTTTCTGTCGCCAAGAGAAAAAAGGAAAAGATAAGAATAGTTCACAATCAATACCTTCTTTCCATCTTCGATCCACAATAATGTAGGATATCCTTTGATGTCAAACTGGCTGCAGACACTACGATACTGAGTACAGTCTATCTTGGAGATACTAACTGCATCGTCGTTACGAAGACTATTGGCTAATTCCTCCCACGTTGGAGCTAGTTTTTGGCAGTGTCCGCACCAAGGTGCGTAAAATTTGACAAAATGATGTCCAGAAGAAACGTGTTTATTAAACGTGTCCTCTGTCAGTTCTAATAATCCATTTACTGGTTCTGGAGGAGATGGTGCAACATCATCTTCATCCTATAAATCATCCATTATGACAATGACAATGATCAACAAACACAGAATATATGAAATCTAGATTTGATTTGGCATACCTCCACAGAACTACGTAATAGATCATTAATAAAAGAAGTTAAGGAGGGCAAATCTCGATCGCCTCTAAATTTAATGCCTTTGGTTTCCCCAGCCTTGTAGAATTTTAGTCTGTAATTAAATTTTTACAATATTCTAGAGATATTTCCGAGTTAAAGATTATGTAAGACAACATCAAAGAAATATGAGGTATAAAATTGTTAGTAAAAAAGAAAATAAATAAATAAATAAATAAATCTTTTTCAATCTTAAAAATGTTAAAAAATATATAAAACAAGATAAAATCAATTATTACGTAGGATAGCCGGTAACATCCTGTTCATAACATAAAGTGCTGTCAGTTGTACAATCAACTTTGGCAATTCTTATATTGCTATCCTCTTCATTTGATATTTCTGCTAACTGTTCCCATGTAGGAGCAAGTCTCTCGCAGTGACCGCACCTTTGGAAAAGCTTGTTATAAGTAAGTTCATTATAATAAACATTTTACATAAAGTATAGAAATTAATTCTAAAATTAATTCCATATTTACTTGTTCTAATTGTAATTGTTGCATATTACATATTACTAAATTCTCATAAAAAAAAAAAAAAAAAATGTTTATCAATATCTTATTACCATGGTGCGTAAAACATAACAAAGTGATTCTTCTTTTTAATTTTTTCAGAAAAATTGTCGCTGGTATACTGGAGCGTATGCACCTCCTCATCATAACCATTGCTAACTTGACTCAGAACAAACAGGAAGAATAAGATCTGACGTTTGGATGCGATAAAATCAACAAGATTGATCGTCATTGTAAGGTTGTTAATTTAATTACGCAACGTAATTCAACTCTTTTCGGATAAAAATCCACCAAGAATGCGAAGCCTGACAATGATTTGGAGAATTCACTGACGTATTTGCCTTTTAAAATTGTCTCTTTTAAATCGCGCCCAATCGCGACGGCATGATGTTGAATACGATAATCTTAAGCAAACATGTATATCACATAATATTTCATCGAACACCAACAGCAATCTCGTTGTTACGAATTCTAAAACTTGAAAGAATTATTTTGCATTCGCGCACTGGCCTGTTGCTCCGGGAATCGCGCAAACCGCGAACGGATCGAATCGTGAATTCCGCCCCCTGAATGATATATCAGTAAACGTCATCTAGCGGCAGTAAATACCTTTGCTTCTGTTATCGATGATCGAGAAGTTACCGAGAGGTAATTATCGTCTTTTTCTTACGGTGTAGTTTTCATGTGCACAAAAATGTTATCAGCGCTCGTAGACGTCACGATTCGCGCGAGATATAAGAAAAAAATTCATTGTTATACACTGGTCTAGTTTCCACCGAAACCCTCAATTCACTCCGGTACGGATTAAATTTAGTGTTCCGTTTCCATTAGAAGTAGAGTACTTAGACCCGGTTTCACAATTCGCGGTTAACTCGAATTAACCGAAGTTCGACTTGCTGAGCTCGGTTTAACGCGTTCAATCTTCTTTGTCAAATCTTCTCTAACCAATCACAGTTCATGTTTAGGAAGAAAAGATGCGTTACGCCGAGTTCAGCAAGTTGGGCTTCCGTTAATTCGAGTTAACCGTCAATTGTGAAACCGGGCCTTATAGATCGAAGCGGAAGCGAAATCAGCGCAATTTGACGGGTTTCCATCGATTTAAATTTGATTCTACGTCGCATTAGGTGTGAATTAGGCCCGAATTCATAGTCGTCTCTCAGATCTCAGATCTCATCTCATCTCTTTCCCTCTCTTTTTCTCTCTCTCTTTCTCTCTCTCTTGAGATCTGAGATCTGAGATCTGAGAGACGACTATGAATTCGGGCCTTAATGCTTCGGTGGAAACTAGACCACTGAGTTCAATGAGGCCTGTTCTACAGATCAATTACAGAAGAATAATCGATTGTGATTGGTCAATTTCTTACGACTTACGACTTATGACTGTATTGTAGAACAGGTCTGAGGGCGATGTCCCATTGAGCGGAAATATATAGCGGAACGGAATGTGCGGAACCAGCTCGACCAATCGTAATCACAGAAAAAGCGAAGGAAAGAAAACGGAATAGCTATGATTGGTCGAGCTGGTTCCGCACATTCCGTTCCGCTATAGATTTCCGCTCAATGGGACATTGCCCTGAGAGAAAAAAATCGGTCTGCGCATAGAGAAAGAAAAGTAAAGATAACGTGGAATTGGCGGGAATACTCGCCAATAGCCGCGTTGGAGCGAATATGAGCGAATATGAGCGAATATTGGGGAAGCATGCGACGCGAACAAACCTTATTTAATTCGAGTTTTATTTCACATAAAGATGGCGACACGTGTGTTGTCAACTTTTGTTTTAGCAGAAAAACTAAATAAATGTCAGACTATTGGAAGAATTTGGAAAGCGTAGAGGTCATAAAATGCTTACTCGTTAACCACTTTTATTGTGACGAATGTATAACCAACCGAGTAGAAGTGTATAGAGACTTGAGTCTAGGATCTGGCATCATTGCCATAATTGCAAAGAAGTATATCATAAGGGTACCAGCGTACGGACTTACATCACTGAACCATATCTGCATCAATTTACACAAGTAGAGCGGAGTTGTTTGAAACGTTTGCGTGGTTTTCGACATAACTCCAAATCAGAAATCAGTAAACTGTAAGCAACACAATATTATCGACATAAATAATCGACAAATGCGGTGCTCGACATTGTGTAATTTCAGCTTTTGAAAAAATTTTAACTAAAACACCAATTGTTCTAACAGAAAAATAACAAGTTTTTTCTTAGTACATTCAAATTTGCTTAAGTTGCAGAGTAACGAATCTGGAGCGTTGTTTTATAACTTATATTCTCTCTCTCTTTTTTTTCTATTTCAGTAATCAGATAAGAAAACAGCACTCAAACATTGTGCGTTGGTTCTGGTAAACATTTAGTTTTTTGTTTTAAACGCTTATATCTTCGAAACTACTAGAGGTTTTTCCAATTTGTTTTAATCGACGCAGAATCAGTCCAATAATAAAATTGGAAAAATATTGATTTTTTGTGGAGATATTTGATTTTAAAGTCGCGTGAGTCTCACAGATCCAGTTTGTCTGATTCGTAAGTCATTTTTGAGATCTCCGTAAAGGGTTAAGTTTTTGGAATTTATATAATTTTAATGTGTTTATTTATTTTTATACACTTATATTGTGTAAGTATATACACATACAGGATGTCTCGTAAGTCAGGAATGGCAAGTGCTCGGGAGCAAAAGTACCAGGCTGGACCATCCAGGATACACCATGTAGAGGAGCCCTTAGCATCCTCCAACAGAGATGAGGACTCCAAAGTTTGTCACTTGTGGGTAATGCTAAAGCAGCCTGTAACTTTTATTTGACTTCATTTATGTTATAAAACTTATATACTTAACCATTCCTTTTAATTTTGACAAAAAATTCGAAATACACAATTTCAAATTTCAACATAAAAATGGTGGTGAGAATTCGAAAACAACGTGTTTCCGGGTATATATTCATTTTGTTTTCTTGGTTTTGGACCCAAGGCAAATCACGATTGATTGACCTTGACTTGCAGGACACTCTGTATATTATTCACATGCACATTTTTTATATACTTATATGTATAATAGTTGCATATACAGAAATAACATTTTTTGCATGTTATAAATATCTTATTTTAAAAGAGAAGGAAACTTAAAGATTTAAATTAAGACCAAAAACAATCAATATAAACATATACCCAGCAAACAATTTCTGACTGCGCAGACCTGGCAACAGAAACTGTGTACAGAAACGCTACAATACGGAAACATGCTTTGTGTGCTGCCAAAGCTGTTAACACACAGACACAAAAAACGCAACATGGTCACCAAAACTCACAAAAACCATATCCTACTGAGGACACAGATGGATATGGATTTGATGTGGCTGTTGGCGACAAAATCGCGACATCTGACAACCAAATTGTTTGCTGGGTAAATAAACAATTCTATTATTTGACCTTTTCTCAGTATTTGTAAATAGATTAGTTTCGGCTTGATGCTAAATCTTAATCTTTAGAGGGCCGCAGTGGCCAATATAGTGGCTAGCAGCAACTCAGAAACTTTGCGCATGTAGGTCTATATATGCAAATTTTGTGTTAAAAAAATTTTAAATTTTAAAAGAAAAAGGCCGGCTTTCTAAAAGTTAAGGAATAATTATATATACTATATATATACAGGGCAGCCGATAATTGCCGGAACACTGCTCGTAGGCAGATAGAAGAAATTATTTTGAATCAAAAAGTCCTATATCACTTTGCAAGATTCGCAATGATTAACGAGATGTTAATTAATAAAGATCCGCGAATGGGCGTGCATCCACGTGCGTAGTGACAGCTCAATCTTTCGCATGCTCACGTCGTAGCAACAAAATTGGAGAAGCTAATATCAACAGCATATATAATATACATAGAAATCAATAATTATCGACGCTTAAACTTGAAAGTATGGACCGTATTTTTTATTTAGAAAGTTCGCTCGTGAAAATTTCAATATAGTGAATATAAGGCCGATACGAGCAATAAATACAAGTTGACCGTGTATGATAACAGATATTTATTTGATAAAACAGACGTTTCGGTTCATGTGTTTGAACCTTCTTCAGTGAGATAACAAAAAGATGTCTGTTTTATCAAATAAATATCTGTTATCATGCATGGTCAACTTGTATTTATTGCTCGCATCCGGCCTTATATTCACTATATTCGTATTTTTTACATTGAAATGACTAAGTCTAATGTCAAAATGTGTCGAAAATGAGAGTTTGTTTTTATTTAATTACTTATTTACGAGAAGATACTATAAAACAAGAAGAAACATTTATAAATTACATATCATATACATACCATGTATATGTATGTTATGTATATTATATGCTGTTTGTATTAGCTCCTTCCATCCTAATGACAAATATGGTTATATGCCACACAGAACAAAAACTCCATTAAACGTCTATTAGACGTCGACAACTTCATGCGACATTAATAGATGTCTAATGGATGTCTGTATGGGATGTTATGCCTGGTTAGGTATATAAAATTCTATAAAAAAAAAGATAATTTTTAATAAGTAAAATAAAAACACATTACTTGATTATAATTGATGAGTATAAATGTTTTTCTTTGGTTTAGTGAAAAAATCAAAATTTAAAGATCTTAAAAAATTTTAATGTCTTATATTTGATTTTGAAAAAGGATATGTTTATTAAACTTCACTAAGCACAAGAAAGAATAATATGTAAACTATATATATTTTAGGTTATCTGAAATGAATTTAAATAAGGATATTAAACAAGCAACGGTGCTTAAAAAAGCAAAAACTAAACCTAAGTTTTATCTCTTGAAAGAACCAAGTCAAGCTAATAAAGATCGACAAATGAATGAAAGACAAGTACCAACGCCAAAAAACCTAAATGTTAGTACACATGCATAAGCTGATATTCACAGTCTGATCATATATTTAAGCTGTTTTCTTACCTATAAATAAATATAAGATCTGAATATCGCTCATATACCATATATGTATAATAAATATAACAAATACTGTAGAACTTGTGTATTACAACAATTTATATTTTGTAAAAGTTATAATTTTATATACATTATATTATTTATTTTTTTATATTTTTAGATATTAGAAGATACTTGTGTTGATAATACTATTTGTGATACTACCTTGCCATATAATACAGTAGGAAATCATAACATTGCTGTTTCTATTAGAGAGGTGAGATGTTAATTTTTGCAAAAAGTAAAAAACCCTTGTATTTTATTGTATGAATAATCTACAGGTAAATGGTGGCCAAGATCTTTCAAACCAACAAATGATAGAAGATTGGGTGAAAAATATCAGCAGGAACAACATCAAAGAAATACATTCTCCAAGTCTTTCTGAAGATATTAGTACATGTTTTAACTCTCCGGAAGTTCCAAATTGGACTGATAATCATCGCCATGATGTTTCAAAGCATAAATTTCTAAAAAATGCAGCATTTATGGGCCTTGTAAGATGCAATATAATTTCAGTGGAAGATTTGATTTGTCCAAGCTATGGAAATATTTCAGTAAGCGACATTTCATACATATATGACTTGTACATGTATACCCTCTCTCATTAATATCAGCATTTACTACATGTTTTAAATCAGTTGTTTCATTTCTTGATATTTGCGCAGTATGGCCAAATACTCGGCGAACTGTGTTCTTGGAAATTCTATTATCATAATGCATAGATGTTGAGAAATTATGCATGTGATTGAAAACATCTAGTGACTGTCAATATTAACAAGTGAAGGTACATATAGACAAGTTTGTATACAAAAATGTCGCACGCTTATAAATTATGTTTGTAACGTATGTATTTATTTATAATTTATGTTTGTAACGTATGTGTTATGTTTTTAAATCATACACTATATTTAGCGATTAATTTAACGATTAATTGTATATTTTCTTTTTTATTTTAGTCTGGAACTAATGAGGAGAAAGAGGAAGAAAACGTGTACGAATTTGAATATCAAGTAGAAGCAGTTCCTCATGAAGAAGACTCTGAGGTTTTTGTTCATCCTTTACAAAAAGGATTGGATGAAAAACAATACAGTCATGTAGACTTTTCGCTACCACGCCTCGCCAAGAAGAAAAGATTAACTCCTCAAGAATATTACGTCCTTACAACCGACGAAAAGTTCTTTGAATTTAAAAAAGAGTCGAATTTAGAAAAGAAATCATCTAAGAAAAACAGTATATAAATACGGAGAATATTGAGTTACATGTCACTCATGTGTGACATGTAACTCAAAATTCTCAGTGTTAAGCCTGTTCTACATTGATCGCAAGCGCAAACGCAAGGAACAGGTCTCGTAGAATTGACTAATCGTATTGATCAAATCAGCCAATTGATCAGCGTGATTGGTCATTGATCTCTACGAGATCTATATCTTGCGTTTGCGCTTGCGATCAATGTAGAATGGGCTTTACGCGTGTTCAATTAAGAAATATTTTTTTACTTCAAATTCGTGTTCAAAAACAAAACAATAATAATTATGCATTCTTGTACAAAATTTAATTACCTGTCTGTACAAAGATTTTCAGATTAGCAAAATGCAAAATTAGATAATTGATAAAATATATTGAAATAATAAACTAATATAGGTGTATATATGTACACATATATGTATACACCTGTGAAATAAATATATATATATTATGAAATATATATATTTTTATATATATACACACATATAGTACATTATATAGAATATTATCTGATAATTGTGATAATAGATTTTCAGACGGGTTCATCTATATACATTTTTAGAGAAAAAAATTATGAGGTCTGTCATAAAAATTTATATATTAATGTGTAATATGTACTAAAGATATTATATATTATACGTCTCTTGAAACACAATATATTTTCATATACTTATGTTTTTCATATTACTTAATCGATATGATGAAAGTTTATTAAATACATTGATAAACATTTTATTTATTTTAAATAGTGTTAATATCATATCTATGTACGTGGATACATATGTGTGTGTGTGTGTGTTTGGTTGGGTGTGTGTGTGTGTGTGGATGTGTGTGTGAGTATTATACTGAAAAGTATAAAAATTAAATATCGATTCAAAGAAATTCTATGATTAAGGTCAATATCGAGCATTAAAAACAGATGTAGAAAATATATATTAAAAATTCATTAACAAAAGTAGATACATAGTATATGTTTGGTGCGAAACGTTTTATCTTTTAAATATCGATACAATGACGATCGAAAACGTTAATTATATGTAACAATGAGACCAAGCTTAAATATATACATGTATATATATGTATATACAGATTTCAATTTCAAGAAATGTAAACTATTATCTCCTGTGATCGGTATTTTATAAGAATACATCAATTTTAATACCTCTTTTCTACACACTACTAAAATATATTTCACAAAAATGTTTGAAAATAAACATCTGATTGGAAGACATGATGATAACTAATATACTGTGTGTGTGTGTGTGTGAGCATGTTAACAAGACAATAACTCATTTTTTATGAAAATACATTGCTTCCTAATAGCCAAGTCTGTCAAAAATAGATTTTGTCAAATATCCACAACATCAAAATGTAGCAGATTCGACGACAAATTGCCAGCAGAAACCAAGCACAGAAAATCCGAAATGTAATGACATTCTACTGTAACACTGCAAAGACTTGTTGCAGATGCTTGAGATTTGCTGCCAATTTATTGTTAATTATATCAATAGTAGACTGTTGACAAGATATAGATATACCTATTTGTTTAACAGACAGAAATTTTCGCAAATTGCTGATTGTTTGCTAAGTGCGAAAACGTATATGCTTTTACATATAGAGCTCTTTCTTTTTTTAAATTAAAAAAAATATTAATATTTTTACAAGCTCTCTTTCCCTTTTTAATTAAAAAAAATATATATGTGTTAATTTACGAATCTACCGTTGCACAGCGAAAAGTGCATTTACGAGCCATTTAAAAACCAAACGTCTTCGATGCGGATTGCGCGCGAAAGTAGTGGCGTGACACGGAGCAGCGTGGAGGAATTTTTATCCCCTCCAGTCGGGAACATTGGCGGGAACGAAGCTGAATGGTGGCACGGCACAGAGCACATCGGACGCAGAGACTTGGTGCGATCTGCATCTCGACGCTAATTATAGTAAACAGACATGCATACGCGCGCGTGATTTGCGTGAAGTGATAAAGTTTATAGTCAGTTTTTATCGCCTGTATTGCGCTGCTATTGTGCGTCGGATTTTGCCGCGCGATGATATATCGCGCGATCGGCTGTGATTATTTGTAATTGCCGTTGAAGCAAAGAACGAGAAAAGAACGAGATACGAAAAAAACGCGGCTCGGAAAAAAGACCGCGTTAAATCGACCGTTACGTATCGGTGCGACGGAATGATCGGAGAATATCTATCACTTCAAGTGCAATCTCCGATCTCTCTTGCGATCAATCTGTAAAACAAAGAAGGAACGACCGTGTTTGTTTTTCTTCCCCGACCGTGGATATTGCAAGCAAGGTGAGCGATTATATACTCATTAAATTATTCTCAGCTGCTTGATACTTCCAGCGCGATTACACTCGATAATCTCTCGAGGTTTTTCATGATGTATAAAAAAAAAAAAAAAAAAAAAGCGCGCGCGCATGTGTCCGTTTTTTTCCGTTTGCGCAATTACACGGTTTAAATGTTTTTTTTTTTTTTTTTTTTTTGTTCTCGGTGAAGAAGCGAGAAATAATCAAAACAATTTCTT